CTACGCGAGAAATCTTGCGCCTGCGCAGTAAGTCTGTAAACAGTTCCTAAACTAGTTCTTTCACAATACATTCCGTACAGATCTTCAGGGAGAACTCAGAAATACACAGGGGTGACAAGCAGACTTTATACACGCAGCATGGCTCGCGTAACAACCTGATTTTACAGTTTATACTGATTTTACCTGATTTTACATGATTGTACCTGAATTTACATGTTTATACTGATTTTACATGATTTTACCTGATTTTACATGATTTTACATGATTGTACCTGATTTTACATGTTTATACTGATTTTACATGATTTTACATGATTGTACCTGATTTTACATGTTTATACTGATTTTACCTGATTTTACATGATTTTACATGATTGTACCTGATTTTACATGTTTATACTGATTTTACCTGATTTTACATGATTGTACCTGAATTTACATGTTTATACTGATTTTACATGATTTTACCTGATTTTATATGATTGTACCTGATTTTACCGGATTTTATATGATCTTAAATTATTTTTCATGATTTTATATGATTTTTCATGACTTTCTATGATTTTACATGATTTTGCATGATTTTACTTGATTCCACATGATTTTACATGATTTTACTTGATTCCATATGATTTTACAGCATTCTACATGGTTTTAGGTTCTGGTCCATTCTCCATTTGAATTCCCTGTAGTTTCCAAGAAAAGTATTGCTGTCCCTCTAGCAGCTGAAACTTTTATTGGTGTATCAGCACAAGTTACAATATCGTAAGTTTAACAATTCAAAATAGTTATTTATAAGCATTTAAATAAATAATCAATTTAATTTCAAACAAATCATTAAGATATTACAACCTATAGTCATCGATTATTTTTCGAAACATTCGTATATAGTTAATATTTAATATTCGTTTAGTATACAATGCACTTAAAACGCCTTAAGTGCATTGTATATTAAACAAATAACAAATATTATGAAAAATCATCTTTATACAAATACGTCGAAAAATAATCCATGACTTTAGGTTGCGATATCTGAATGATTTGTTTTAAATTAAAATGATTTTTTATCCCTTTAAACATAGTTATTTAATCATTTACACACAGAGAATAATACAAATTGTGGTGCCTTGAAGACCTTTAAATAAAACACGATTTTTTATATGTTTTTATCAAGCAGATGAATTTGAAAGTAAAAAAAGTAATTTGTTACATTTAAAGTTTGGTTGTCAGGGATTTTAATTTAAAAAAAAACAATTTAAAAAAAAACAGCATTTCAGGAAGATGTTTATTTTACATCTAAAAACTTAATGATTTTATAAAGGCTCAGTAACATTTCATATAGTTACACTTCAAAAACGACACTTGCTATAACTACATTTTTATATAATTACACTTACTAAAATTATACTTTCTATGATGGCATTTCCTATAGAGTTACATTTCATATCAGGTTAAATTTCATATATAGTTACACTTCCTATAGTTACACATTATGTTGGGAATGGGATAGGTTAGATTAAGAAAATTTCTGGGCCGAGCGCTGCGCCTTCTTAAATGTTAAATAATTAAACAATTTTGAGTTAGGTCAGGTTTAAACTATTTCTGGGTCCAGCACCGCACTAGAACAGGCTAGGAGCCAAACGCTGTGTAAAATAAATGAAAATCAATTTGGAATTTGGAAACGTAAATTTTAGCAAATGTAATTACAGGAAATGTAACTAAAGAAAGTATAATTATAAGAAGTGTAACTTTATAGAAAATGTAACCTCAGAAGAAATGTAAGAAATGTTATTATATAAAATGTAATTTATAAAAAATGTAATTATAGAAAGGGTAATTACATGAATAAAGTTTAACGGTATTAAATGTAACTGAGCTTCGTTAAAACAGTATTTTCAGTTTGTTCTAAAAGCTACCGTTTGTTACAAAACATCAAAACACATTAAGAAATATTTTTTATAGGTATCATGCAATTTTAAGCAGCAAAAAAATATAAAATTCGCCGTTATTTTTAAACGCATCCGTTATTTCTTTTTTATTTGACCGTTCTTTTTTTTCGGACACTTACACTTACAGACACTTTTTTAATACAAAAATACATTTTCAAACGTATTTGTACATATCATATTCATGCCTAACTTGACCAACATTTAGAGATATGTATTAGGATTAAAGTCAAGGATTTCTTTAAACAAATAAACCAAACTTTAAAGGAAAATTAAGTAAAATAATGCAAAGTATAAAGTAAGATGAATTTAGTTTAAAACGGAAATATAAAGTCTACGGAAAAGGAACTGTCACAAACAACCAAGATAAACCTTAGATATTTTGAACTTTGAATTATGTTAGATTAAATAATCTAAGTTTAAATGTTAAAGATTTGCACCACCAGGTTGCAAAGGTATAAGGATTAGAAAATTTGAGGTTGAGGCAAACATTCTGTTAGGTCTGACAGTGTGAAAGACATGTCCCCATATAGAAGAAGATGTCTAATGCCAGAAGAAACTGATGTTCCCGAGTTAAACGTTAAACTAGAAGCATTTGATACTTACACACAGGTATTATGTCAAATACTATTAGAAGGTGTTAATCTTGTCTATGCCTAGCATACTGACTCTGTGATCTATCCAGGTAACATTCGTTGCATAAAACGTGCTGGGTCGAATTTCACCTTGGTATCCAGATAGGTCAGTAAGCCTGAATGCATATTTAGTACGTGTTGTATATAGAGGAACGGATCATTCAGCTTTCAGAGTGGGGAGGGCAAACAGTGGGACTAACTATGACTCCCCTGGGCAACGCTGGGTTCCCATGAGTTATAATACTATACATAGGCTTTATATGACAAACTAAAAAAAAAGTTTACAGCTGCAGGGGACCAAGAATGTATAAAAAAGACTGATGAAATTCCGTAAAGTCGTCTCTGAAGTCTCATCCTTTGTGGGTAACCCTGTATTAAGTCCAGATTATTATTTTTTTTAATTAAGGCAAATTGTCTGATTGAATGTGCTGCTGCTGCAATGTTAAAGCTGTGTGGATGTGTACCGTACTACTTTCCAACCCTACCTAAACCATTTATTCAAGCAAATGTTAAGATGGGAAAATATCCAGGAAGTTCTGGATTTTGCTTCACTGAAAATCTGGTCTGCCTAGGCAACAATCAAGGCAATCATGTGATCAAATCATTCAAATTTGTATTCATCCTTTCTTTTTGTGAAAATGAATGCGCAATGCTTGTATTATTCTTCTAATAGTCAATACATCAGATGCACTGGAAGATAATTTGTTGTCCAACCAGTAAGCATTTTTGTTCACCAAGATAGACCAGACCCCAAATTTAATGAATTTAGGTCGCGTCTCAAATCCCCCAAAAACCGGTTTCAATTGAGCGCCGGCTGAAATCTAGAAAAATTAAATACAATTTTAAGTGAAACCAATCATATTTGAGCCGTAAGCCGCAGCTCAAATTCTTTAAATTCGGCCATAGCTACAGATCAAGTTTTGCACTAGTTGTGCGCAATTGAGTATATGGAAACTCTTATTTAAAGTCAAAGATTCAGGATGGATTTGACTCAGTGGTTCAAATTTGAGCCGGCCAAATTCAGTTAAAAAAATCAAAAGTTGAGTAAATCTAGTATCAGTGTAAAGGTGCCAGCTATTAGATATTATTGCATTAATAAAAAATATACATACATAGAAAATGTATAGTTGACAAACAATAAAAGATGCAAAAATGTAAGTATAGTTCAATGGACTCTAAGCCTAATTTCAAGTGACCTTCCATTTAAAGAAAGGCAACCTTGATTGAGAATAGTACTGTTAATACCTTTTTCTGTTTAATACTGAGTAAGATATTGTTTTTTTTTCTATGTTCAAATGTGTTCAATGCCAATTTTCCATATATTGATTCCTGAGCTGAGATTTTAAAAGCTTAAACCCGAATAAAAAGGTCTTATTGTCTAGCTAGACTCAAGTCACCCTTAGTAAAGCTCAGGTCAAGACACGGGTTTTTGACGGCCTTGTGTATAGTAAAAACTGACCGCATTGGGTTTTTCGCTCTTGTAGGCTTGGGTGTCTTTTAATAGCTGATGATCGGAAAATTCGTAAAAACTATTTGTACTTTTCAAATCTTGGGAATTATTTGTAGTGTTAAATTTGACACCAAAGGTATAAAATAAACATACTATAAAAATAATATCTCTATGTAAAGTTCGAATATTAGAAATTTACACCTCCTTATCACAGCTGGTCTGTCTGCTATAGAGTGAAATGAACAGATTTGTTTAAATTAACAAATCTGTTAACAACAGAGAGAAATTAACCCTATCGCTGCTGGGGTACTTGAAAACAAATTGACCCCCCCCCCCTCTAAATCCCATGTTTTATGTCCAAATATGACAAATGATACATCATTAGAAAGCTCTTGGGCTCTACTTTTAGAATCAGCAAAAAAATTTGCAAATTTGCATAAATTGAATTTTTTATTGCAAAATCCAGTTATATGAAAAATGAAAAATTATACATTTTTGAAAAGCCCTTGACCATGCCATTTCAAATATGTAAAAAGTTTTGCAAAATTTTAAATAACCTGATTTTTAATCAAGAAAAACTAAAAATGTGCAAATTTCCTTTGACAGGTCGTTTGCAAAAAATTTGCAATTTTTTTTTCGCAAAACTTGTGCAATCCGTTTTCTTATGTCATAGGCTTTCCTGAGGACTCAGGCAGTTAGTATTAAAGCCCGGTTTTAGGCCTAAAGGGAGGGCTTTGGGTATGTAAGAAAAGTCAGAAAATTTCAACAGCATCAGACCAATACTTTTTGAGTTATGTAAAAAAACTACAGGGGGGGGTCAAATTGACCCCCCCCCCCAGCAGGAATAGGGTTAAGAAACAAATTGTTACTTAATGATAATATTTTGTTAAACAAACTGACCAATTGAAAAAGAACTGCTGAGAAGTCCAACTCTACTTTTGTAAAATTTAAAATGATCACAATGATGAGTTTTCAGGTATTTTTAATGCATTTGCATCTCTGGACACTGAAGACGGTGAAAGTGCAAATGAAGGATTGACATGTAATTGCCCAGATGATTGTGATGAGATTGTTTATAATAAGGTTTGGAAGGTTTTTGGACTGTTCCTTGCAGAGATTCATTTTTGTCAAGGAATAACATTTTTGAGAACAAACTAAATTTTTCTTAAACGATGTTATTGTCCAGAAAAAAACAATCGATGGATAAACGATGTAAAAGCGTTCAAACTATCTTTAACAAATATTCCCAAAGATTTTTTAAAATCCTTTGGTTTTGTAATGAATACATGTTTTTTTAAACAATTTTTTTAAAAATAATTTTGTTCTTACTGCATGAATGATTTTACTGAACAAATGATTTTACCAATTTTACTGAACAGTTGTTCAGTGAGACAATGAATGAAACAGATGTAAAATTAGTTTTATTTTGAGAACAAACAAAATAAATTTTTTAATGATTGAAAAAAAGAGTCCGTTCATGAAAAATGAACGAAAAAGGCCTAACGTGCCCATCTCTACCTCTTTTTGTGATTTTGATATCAGGAAAGTAGAAAGGATAAAGAAAACGATGTTATCCATCCTTGATCTAAAATGGAAAATTGTATATCTCTATTCAAATATCTGTTTCAGGAGGTATCAAGTGGAAAATTGAAGGATAATAACGATGTAAGTAATTTTCTGACTCCGCAAGATAAGTTAAAGAAAAAACATTGTTAAGTGTGAAAGAATGGTCTTTAACTAACTTGTATTTACTATAGATTATAAGACTTCTGACTTATGATCTGGTTCTTAGAAATTACTTTTTAAAAATCTGAGAAAAAAACTCAAATCTTTTTTAAAAAAATTCTCATAAAACTCATCACCAATTTCAGATTGTTAAGGTTGTTTCCCAAAAAATTTCCTCAGCGTTTTTTCAGATGTGTCAGAAGTGAAAAAATTTATCAATTTTTCAAATTCAAAATGAAAGAAAAGACCAGTTTCTTTAACTAATATTTTTTTTTCTAGGCTCTTTTGAATACTATACTGTGCACTAGGCGTACTGTTCTCAGTACAGAATGCTGGACAAATTACTATCACGATCATTGTTTCTATACAATGTTTCGAAAGGAATATCGTGCCTTGAAAACTCTACATAGAAATAATTTTAAATTCTTTGACTACTGGGCCGAAGATTGTGCAGACAGGTATTCTTCTTTTCCCTCTGCATGAGACTGCCATTATTGGCTTGCCATCACAAAGTATTAACTCCCTGTGAATTATCTGTTTTGAGACAAGGGCTATATATGTTTGTAATCATTTCCCCTTCCTTTTGAAAATAGTAGAGCTGTTTTATTGGAAAGTAAATGATATTTTGTGTTAATTTCCAATGAAAATATGTTCATCAATGGTATATTATAGTAAAGACTATGCTTAAAGGTCGTCTCTGTATGATAAATCTCTCTTTATCTACAACAATAAAGCTCTTCGCTAGCTTATATATATGTATATATATAGATATCTATATTATATGTAAATATAACATTTTGAATAAAAAGCTGAAATATATTACATTAGATTTATATTATGCTATAGCTGGACATTTTTTGATGAAACCAATTATATCCTGGGGGTAACAAAGGCTAAAAAATCGGAGTCTTATTTTCAAAATTCGATGTATTTTTTAAATTTTACATGCAACGCCGGCACTTCAGCTAGTATTAATTAAAAGTGTAGATGACTTATTTATTTCCTCTTGAAAACATAATTGTCAATGTCAATTTACTGTATAAAGGTTAGTTATATTTTATACTAAACACCTTTTTTGTTACCTGCAGACAGAAGACAAAAGTTTTATTTTTGGCCAGCTCTTGAATTAACTAGATCATTCATAGTGAGGTAAAATTAAAGGCAGTAGCCCAGTTTTGAAAATTAATGCAACTTTGCAATTCAGTTTGGATCTATATGCTGGTTATATCGCTGTATTTGATCTATAGGATATGTATTACATCTGCTTTGTATTCCCTCTACAGAAGATAGAAAAGCCAAAAATGTGCCAAAATGGCATTTTTTTATAGCCAGTGATTAATTCTCCAATTATCTGAATCATTTAAGAAGATTTCCAACTATGCTCTTGTTCAATCAAGTTTTGAATGCCTTGATAAACCCATTTTGGTTATTTTTTAATAATTGATTCTGGCAATTTATAAGAATCTATTAAAGTTTTACAAGATTCTATTAAATTACTGTCACATTATTAGTAATTTTTCTCAGGTTTGTCATAAGATAGGGTCTTTTAACAGTTTTATCAAATAGCAAAGAACTTTTTTTTAGAACTTTCCAGAAGAAAACCGCAAATTCTGCTATGGTGCATGTGTACTTCAGAGATCTGGGGTTAACCAAATTTACTAAAGATCAACTTTTCGGCTGGCAGGATATTCTAGGTAATTATATATATTGCATTAAACCATGATTTCAAGTGACCCTCCATACAAAGATGACAAAACCAGATTAAAAATGATACCATTGTACTTAAAATTTTAATCCGATCTATAATGAGGATAATAAGGTCATTTTTCTAAGTTTATACTGCATGGATCATACAAAGCATTTAACGGAACTGCCTTAAATGTTGTAAATTGGTCATTGCTATCTTTGCATGGAGATTTAAGGGTCTTTTCAAATTATGGTTACAGTCCCTAAAAAAATTTATTTGAAGAAGAGGGATAGATTTAGGATAAATAAAAGTCTTTCAAACCATAACGGAAAATTCTGTTAAAGAACGGGAAAACCCCTTTCGTTAACAAAGGAGAATAAAAGTTTATGAAAAATAGTGCGGAAAAAAAACAGACTGAGGCAGACAGGTTTTAAATTTGTTGACGACTTGTGACAATTTTTCTTCTTAAAATTGCACAAAAACACCAGCCCTACTTGGAAGTTCAATATTGTTGTCATCAAATTGTATGTTTGTAACAATTGTAGTATTTAATACATGGTCCCTTAGATTAACTCCACCCTCTTTCTCCGGGCTGAGCATGAATCAAAACTCCGGAGCTAAGCAGTGCACTTAGAACCTTAAGAGCATAAAGACAACTCCGTCTGTACCAAAGGGTTCGGGGGCTTGCACTAATATACTGCTATCAGATATATTATAACAAACATGTCTTCAAGAGAATAGAAGACGCCTCCAGCCCCATCATCATTCACAAGTACACAGGATCAGAGTACTCTGCCTCTCACAGTGGTTTGTCTCTGTAGGTCTTTCAGGGAAGATCTCATAATTAACATACCAGCCACTCCAACATCAGATAAGAATGTATCAGTTTTTGTTCTCTCTGGATAATCCCATTCAAGCAGCCAGCAGATCCAATCTGACCTTTCACTCCAGGGGAAGAGAAAATCATGAGGATATATGAGGACGTAACTTATCATCCTCAGGACATGATTGAGATACCAGGAGGTTTCCAGGTACAGAGATACTGTATAAGAACAGAGAGACCAGAGATAGGTTCAGAAGCATGGATAAAGAGTTTTGGTCCTGAACAAGCTGCTAGATATATATCAGCTCTTCGCAGACCATGCACGCCTGATTCAGATCCTGAGATGGAGGCACTTCTGGTAGATTCTAAACCAAGGAATGATCCTCCAATACCTCAACCAGCTCCATACAGTCATTCAGCTCAAAAGAGACCATGGACACCTGGAGCAGCTAAGATTGCAGAGGAAGCAGCTAGGATTGCAGAGGAAGCAGCATATGAACCAACAGTAAACCTGGAAGCTGCTGCTGAAGATCTGATGCCGAAACTTTTAGATGATCATCCTCTGAGAAATCTGTCCCCAGATCCCCAAGTCCAGAGATAGAACTAGGAGAGATTGTAGAACCGGATGAAGCTGTAGAGATGGATCCAAATTCGATACAGATTGTTCATGATGGGTTTGGTGCAGAGCATCCACCCATCCTTCTCTTGAAGATCGAAGATGATGGAGAAAACTTTTTTTAACTTATCGGAATTATCAAGCTACAGGAGTGAGAATAGCTGTTATTGAAAGACAGTTTGAAGCCTACAATGCTCTTCCTCCTTCTCCAGATGCATTTGACCCTCATTCACAAGCTGAACTCCGTATGCCTCTTATGACAGAGCTATGCAGCGAGCCAGGATCTTTTTGATCCATCCAGGCTGTCTCCCAAACCTGAAATAACAAGATGATTTGATTAAGATTAACATTGTATAGATTATTGTGCTAATAAACTCTAAAGTTGTCAATCTCATTTAATGATCCCCAGAAAAGATAGAGAGATAGAAACGTTAGAAATATAGTTATAAAAGGGATCAATTAAAAGGCACTAGGACATATAACTAAATGTTAACACAAGCCCTAACTAGTGGGAGTAAATTTTTGATCTGTGGTGTCCCTAGGATATAATCATTGGTCAGAGAAATTAGTCCTTGAAAATCGACAAGTAAACTAAATAGTGATAATTTATTAATACATTTAAATATAACACAATTCTTGCAGATAAGACACTTATTTGAATTTTTTTGCTTTGAAATCTTTAAATCTGAAATCTGGATTTATTATTTAAGCACAATTGAAGTATTTTGACAAACTTAAGAAGTGTCATTTTAATTAAAGATGTGACCAAGTAAAAACAATTTTCATATAAATCAAATTTTTATCTATTTCAGCCCAATTTGGCGGAACAGCTGGCCTTTGTATGGGATTCAGTTTACTTAGTGGATGTGAGATTGTATACTTTCTCCTCTGCAGACGATGCTTTAAAAAATAATACTTTTTTCTGAGTGCGTAAACACCATCTGAGCTGAAATATTATATTGTGTTCAACTCATTAAAGGGAGTGTTCGCGAAAAATGAAAGGGGGTACAGGCTTACAACGAAAAATAAGCGCTTTTTATGGCTACTAATTTCACTTCTATGTGTTGCGTCCGTTAGGAGAAAATTGTTAAAAACGACTTATGCTGAATAACATAGCATCTACCAAAATTGATAACGTTGCAATATACGACTTGGATCGAAAACAGTCAAATTAATTTCAATCAAATCATTAAGATATTACAAACTGAAGTCATCGATTATTTTTCGCCAAATTTGTATATAGTTCATTTTTCATAATATTTTTTACTTCTTTTATATACAATGCACTTAAAACAACGATTTTTTCCCACTAGGTGTCTCTGCCTCGTAGACTCATAAAGAGCATCAAGAGCAGAGGCACCTGGCGGACAAACTAATCGGTGTTTTAAGTGCATTGTATATAAAACAAATACAAAATATTATGAAATATCAACTTTATGTGAATGTATCGAAGAATAATTGATGACTAAAAATTGTAATATGTAAATGATTTGTTTGATTATAAATTGATTTTTTTACGATCCGAGTCATGGATTTCAATTTTCTCAATTTGGGTGGATGCTATGTTATTCGTTATTCCATGTATCTTTGCAACCTGATGGTGAAAACCTTTTATATTTCAAATTTAGATTTTGGTCAAACACTTTTCATGGTTTGAAATGTCAACGGGTAGCAAAGATTTGAGTTTGTAGCAACAACTCAGTTTTTAAGCTACTTTCCTAATTTTTTACTTCATTTTGTTTGTTTTGACAAATTTAACCAACAAACTGAATTCACTCTTCAGAATTTTGTTATGATTTATTCTGAAATATATAAAAAAGTAAAATAACGTGTAAAGACAAAAATTCAAAAGATTATTAATCCAAAGTTTGAATATTATTTGAATGAGAACATTTACGGATTTAGCTTTAGATTAAAATTTTAAATTATTTAAGATTAGATAATAAATGCACTGATGTATATTTATCTATGTATTTATATCGTGTTAATTTCTTGTATTTTTGCTTGAATATAAATTTTGCACCATTGCATTCCTTTTTCTTCATTCCAAAAAATATGAACTATAAGTTCGGAACTTTTGTGTGGATATACTTGATCTTGATATCCAATGTAGGTACTTTTACATTTAAAGATAAATGCTTGATCCCACTTTTCACTCTTGTATGCCGAGAGTTCATTAGCGCCTGATCCAATCAGGGTTTAGTCATGTGATTGTTGTCTATTCTGAACCAATAGAAATAGTATGGCGGTAACATCTTTCTTTCTATCTATCTATTATCCAATCAGAGTTATAAATTCCTTCAATCGGCGCTATCAGTGAATGGAAATACTTATTTCTACTGAAACTTTAGTGTTTTGTAGCTTATCCTGCAGGGTAATGACAATCACGAAGAGGAATTAAATTAATCTGCAGATCTACATAAGATGGAGGTCAATGTTTGATCTCGAGATTCACAGCACAAAAATTCTGACTTTTGTTTCATGATTAAAAGACAGAAGATTATCTTTTAAAATAGCGTAATTGATTCGAGAAATATGCATAAATGTTTGCCGTCTAGAAGACATTTACGAGGGTACAGGATAAAAATTAAAATAAAAAGTTTCAAATCAGTATACACCACTTTTCATTTTGTTAAAGTCCAATTCTAAAACTCTCTTGTAAAGAGGTTTCTAAAGGGAGTGACCGGCTATGTAAGGTAGTTGAACTGAGTATGCAGTGTTGCGGAAAACTTCTTTCGGATTCAGAATAATGAGAAAATAGAAACTAATAATTGAACAAGATTACTTATTTTCGAAGATATGATTAATTTTTATTTGCTCAAAATGTTCCTATACATGACGTCTGTATTTTATCATAGAACTTTTTTTTACATTTTATGTCGTCGTTATTTAATAATTAAAAAGAAACTAATTCTAAAAACGTATCCACCCCCAAAGTAGGAGTTTTGAACGTCGAATTTACGCTCAAACTCTGGGTTTATGGATCTTTAAAAAGTTTAATATGAAATTAATCCAAAAGAAGTTTTCCACAACAATGCATACTCAGTTCAACTACCTTACATAATAGCCGGTAACTCCCTTTAAATAATAAAATGTCTAACTCAAATTTTCAGTTTTATCAAGCTAAAATCTCTGAATAAAGGATTCTTTTCAAAAATATTGTATTTTTAATTTAGCCTGCTGCACTTGGAGTAATAAGAGAAAAAATGGTATCATATATTTTAAACTTCTTTAGTTTTCGTTTCAACCTCGTTTGTGACCATGCTACATTCTAAATTTGTAACATTTAATATTTTTCATCCTTACCTAAACCATATTCAGGTTGGCGTCTGGTTTAACTGAAATAGTCTGGGATCCCCCTATATTTCCTTATTGTGATATAAAGCTTTAACATTTGATACACTTTTGGAATATCCAAACAATTAGCAAAGGAATTGAGTTTTAGCAACAAATTCTCATTTTCTGATGCCTATATCTTTGCAACACTATGTTGTAGACCTTTGATATGTCAAACTGTAAGTTCTGTTAGATAAAAAAGTATTAGTTTGAAATATCATAGATTTACACCATCCGGTTGCAAAAATATAGGGATGAGAACATTCAAGTTTGTGGCAAAAACTCAGTTCCTTTGCAAAATTTCAGACTGTCTAAAATTATGTTTACAATTCTAGAGTTTAAATAATAAAAAATAAAAAAATTTAAAATAAATAAAAACTCAGATTTAGTTATTCGAATTGAAGTTTCATGAATATTTAAAAATATTTATTTTGTTGAATCAAGCACTGTAAACAGCAAGCAAACAATTGAACACATTTCTAGAATATTCTTTTAAAAAAGGGTGTCCCACGAAACATGACTGTTGAGAAACGAAATGATCATAGATCTTGGTCGAAATTAATTTTATATTCCCGGTAATTTTGAAAGTGCACGAAAAAGACAGACCACTTTTTGGGATTGCAAAACTAGGACATTTTGTGTGATTAATAATTTAATAATTCTACTTCTAAATTTGGTTAATGAATGAATACGGCAAATTATTTTAAAGGTTGTCGCTAGAACTGTCATGTTTCGTGGGACACCCTGTAGATCAAACCACTCTCCATAATGTTCACTTTAAGACTCAAATCAAAATTTCTCTTTATCAGACGGTCAGTGTTTAAGAGTCATGTAATAATTGCACTTTGAACGTAACTATAATAAATATGTTAAACATTGTCTAAGGATCTAACTTCGTTAATCCTTAAATACGTAAAACTTGTAATGCGATCGACTAAGACTAGCTGCGTATTGTGTTCAGATTAATATATAAATGCGTAATATTGTGAATATGTAACTTACCTTTTCATTGAAACATACAAATTGAGATCGTGCCTTGAGTATTGGCATTGATCAATAAATCACTATTGTCCGGATCGCTATTGTTGATAGTTCTTGGGATTGTAGCCATGTGGATCATGTCCTGTTTGAGACATTGATCAATAGATGGCTATTGTCCAGTTGACATAGCAAATGAAAATGTGTCCAGTGTTAGTGGCGTTGATAGTTCTCATGATTGTAGCCTTGTGGATCGTAGCCTGTTTGAGACATTGATCAATAGATCGCTATAGTCCGGTTGACATAGCAAACGAGATAGCACCCAGTGTAGTGGCGATGATGGTTCACAGGATTTTAGCCATGTGGATTGTGTCCTGTTTGAGACATTGATCAATTGATTGCGAGTGTCTGTATTGACACCGATAGCTAACCAGATCGCTCCCAGTGTTAGAGGCGTTGATAGTTCAAGGGATTGTAGATATGGGGGATGAATTACACAAACTAGACAAACAAATTAGACAAACTTTTAAGAGTATGGCATTTACTACTGTCAGTCCTTCACATAATTAATACAATGATGGAGACTTCAAAGACGACTGTACTGTAATTTTTTGATTTCTTTGTCCGATCATTGAAAAGACTAAAAAAGACTTTATTCGTGGCAGAATACTTAATTTAACCTAAGAAACGTCAAATTAAAAGATTTTCACGTCGTCTTTACATTCGCATCCTTTGTGGGTAACCCTTTAGCGTAAGATACAAGTGAAAGAATAAACCTCGGTCTTCATTTAGGGTTTAAATTCAAAACTCTTTGTCTACGAAAATACTATTTTATTTTTTAAAGCATCGTCTGCAGAGGAGAAAGTAGATCAGCTCACACCCACTAAGTAAACTGAATCCAATGCACAGGCCAACAGTTCCACCAAATTGAGCTAAAAATGACAATATTGTTATCTTAAAGACGTAATTTCAAGTGACCATCCATGTTCAGAATGGGGTGACCACCATTTCACACTATTTCACATCCTTTCACACCATTTGACACCATCCACACCATTTCACACCATTACACACCATTTCACACCATTTCACACCATTTCACACCATTTCACACCGTTTCACATCGTTTCACACCATTTCACACCATTTCACACCATTTTACACCATTTCACACCATTTCACACCATTTCACACCATTTCACACCATTTCACACTATGTCACACCATTGCCCCTTTGATTTTCCATGTTGACGGACTTATCCTTCAAAAGCGCTTGTAATTGTCGATAACTTTGTTTGCAAACTGTTTTATATTTAGAAATAATAATATTTACTTTCCAGAATTCGCAAAAACTAAATATTTTTACTGGATTTTTTTTACCGCCGTTGAACAAATATATGGAGATATATCTTATACAGTGATAACCAGAAAACAATGGCATAAAGATATTTAGAATTTCTAAAATATATGCGGAAAAATTTGCTTCACTCATTATTGTACGTATAAATCAAAATTAGACGCTACGAGGTCACAAAGTCATTTTGTCTTAATGTGTAAGATTTTTGATATTTTAATATTTCTAACCTACTATATCCTGCCACCCGTAAAGCTGATCAGTTGTAAACTTAGTTAAACCCATATCTCTGAAGTATACATGCACCAATGCAGTATTTGCCATTTTCTTCCGGAAAGTCCTAAAAGATTAATTTTACTATTTGATTAAAACTTCTCAATGACCCTGTCATATGGCACACCTGCAAAAAAACTTAGTTTCACTGATCGAAACCTGTGATATTGATTTGTAAAACTTTGATAGATTCTCATAAATTGCAAGACTCAAGAATAAAAAAACTAAAATGGGTTTGTCTAATTATTGATTAATTTAAGAATTCAACTATAGTTAAAAGAAAGGAAAAAACATTTTCGATCTTTTTATATACAGGGTGTCCCAAAAAACATGGGACGAATTGGATATCGTCTTTGTTATGAATTAGCATTGTAATACCTAACTTCAAAAGCCATAATATTATTATGTCTGCTAGAGTTTGTATACTGCAATTTACTTGTTTTACTAAGTACAAACTCTTACAGATTACAGCTTTCTCATGACCAAGGAGAATTGAATACAAGGAGGGGGCAATAGGGTTTCTGTACACTTTGCTGTGACGTTTTTGGGCTGCTGGAGAACTAGTTTTTGCGTAACAACAATAATAAAGATTGTAAACAATAACACAAATGATAAACAGACCTTTGGTGCATCAATCACTGGGGTTAGATGAAGATTCACCGTATACTAACTCTGTTGACTTTAAAAGTCAATATGATAAAATAAAAGAGATCTAAATGGATATTTCTAACATTTATTTAATAAAAACGAAAGTTTTGAAATAGTTTCCCAAGTGGCATTATAAAATTGGTTGGTTTAGAAATTAACAAAAGGAATAAATGACGACTATTTGGTGGGACTTCATGGGAGTGATGTAGAGCTTCATGTTGGTGGAGCAGATCAACAGGTACTTTGCGCTGAGTATCTGCGTCATCATCAACTTTTAGTATAAAACTAAAATCCTTTACTTTTTCAATCATTTTTAACAAGATAATACTACTTTCACAGTTTACTAACTCATGTTTGTTTACATTAGATCAGCTGCCTTCATTATTGTTGTTACGCAAAAACTAGTTCTCCAGCAGCCCGAAAACGTCACAGCAAAGTGTACGGAAACCCAATTGCCCCCTCCTTGTATTCAATTCTCCCATGCTCATGACTAAATACCACAAAAACAAGGTAATTATTACAAGTCGAACATAAATAACTGTGCTTGGAAAAATTTTGAATGGCTGCTTAAAAAAATTTTCAGTAAAACAGCCGCTTAAGATATTGATATAATAAAATATATAAGAAAAACTGGCGGCATAAAAAACAAGTTAAAACTAAAGTTTTGAAACTTTGATAAGAACAGGGGCGCGAATCGCAAAGTACTATAATTTATCAATAATTAATATATATTGGAAAAATTAAGAAATATGATTTTTTTTAATAAAAATAATTAGATAAAAAATACCTTTCAACACAATCACTTGATTTCCCATTGTTTTGCAGATTATTGTGATAATGAAGATTGTATAAGGCTTCATATTCTTGTTTGAAGGATGTATTGAAACACTTGATATGGTTTGAAGTGTTCTGGGGCCGAATTTAATGAATAATTTTAACTGCTTCCGCCGGTTCAAATTTGAATCACTGATTTAAATCCTTTGTAAATTTTTAACATTGAATCTGTGGTTCAAATTTGAACCAGCTTTTCAGCGACTTAGCTCAATTTCATCAAAGTCGGTCCCTTGTTAAGGTTTAATGAATTAATCTGCTCTTGCTCATGACAAAGGGCAGTGTTCAGTAATGCCTAGTAAAATATTCATACAAAAATTATTAATTATTTTATGCAAAGATATTGGCACCTGATTAAAACTTAAATCTCATAAAAATGTGGAAGGGTGTTTTTTTCGTATCTAATTAATTGTAAGCATGGAAAGGCTTACTTGTAAATATGCCTGTAGTCTACAATAGCAGTGAGGCGGAAGACAAACGTGTGGATAATCAAAGTTAAGGTTGCCCTAGAGTTCTATTTAAACTCAGGCCATTAGACTTGATCCACGAGGCAACAGGAATAAGATTCGCCAGGCTAAAGCCAAAATTAAGGTTAGCCGTCACAAAGAACCGAAAGAGGAAGGTTAATCCGCCACATGAAGACGGAAGAAAGGCGGAGAGTCTGTCAGAGAGCTCCGGTTTTATTCCAAAAAGTAGTATTGATTATTATCTGTGTATTTTATGCTGTGAATAATTGTTTTCCTGAAGTCACATCAGTTCAGGCTTTAACATTTCTTTGACTTTGACTAACTTTAAATTGTACATCATACTAATTCACAATAGTTATTTATCAGATAAAGGGTTTCAGGGCACCCTTTTGAATCTGGCATGCCCTGGCCTTTTTTACGACATTAAAATGGAGGGGGGGGGGGGGGTTGACTTTCAAGATATGAAATCTGAAAAATTTAATAATCTATATGCTTGGCACTTGCCTTATTATTATCCATTGAAGTTCCAGTTGAGACCTCCTAAATTAAAAAAAATATTTAAAAAATTAAAAACTAAAATGTACTCTGAGCGTAAATGTAAGTGACCCTCCGTGCAATGCCCGATTTACAATTTAGTGTACACTTGAAACCTGTGACTGATCAATGAGGACAGAAGCTGACGTTACACATATATTTCTCAAAAATTTAGAATATTACTTGGTTTTCAAAATTTCAAATATTAGAATTAATTTTTTGAAACTTCTATCTAAAACAGCTTGCAAACAAAGTGTTCGACAAATCAAAGCTTTCCATTTGAAAAAAAGAATAAGTTGATCAGTTAAAAGTTAAAAGGGTACTGTATGAGAATTGGACTCACTACAAATGGAGGGTCACTTGATTGCAAATGAAAATTATTTTTTTTAAGATCTCCCCAACCTTGTTATAAACAATCTGATCGCAGTTATCAGGGCAATTACAAGTTAATCCCTCGTTGGCTCCTTCCTCACTTTCCTCAGTTTCAGGTGAAGCAAATGCATTTAAATATCCTGCATTTTCAACAATGTGTTTGTATGAATACTTAAAGGCCACAGATAACCAAATAGTTGACGATTCTTTTAATCAACTAGATGAAATGGATTAGAGAACGTTAGTATTTCTTATATAAACGTTAAACGTCTAAAAACGTCTAAACGGCTGAATCGATTTTTAGTTGCAACTAACATAACCCCAGGGAAGCTGCAATATGGACCATCAAGTTGAAGAAATCATTCCTGGAAAAAAATGTCCACATTCATAAGTTTAGAAAATCTACCAATTCAAACAGGAAAATCTGCAAAACAGTTAAAAACATTTAATTGGAAATTTGGTGTTTATTATATTTAATAAAAAGGAATTAAGTCGTTGCCACAAACTGAAATTTTCTAATGCTTTTATCTTTGCAACCTGATAGTGTAAATTTAGAGAAAATCTAACTCTATGCCAGTAATTTCTGACTCAAATTTTGGCCTGAAACCTCTCTGGTGATTAAAAAAAGATTAACCTCGAAACCTCGACCACCCCTGAAGAAGATGCCTTACCCTAGAAACCAGAGGACGTCCTAAGGTCGTCATGGGGACGTCAATAATTACCAGTGCGACGTCCGGCGATGTCATATTTTAGGTGTTGAGGACGTGTTGAGGACGTTTAACGCAAGGATTCTTACGTCCTCATGACCAAACTTTTGAAGTCGAAATGACGTCACTTTGGACGTCCAAATGACCAAACTTTTGAGGTGCAAATGACCAAACTTTTGCCGTACAAATGATTAAACAAGTCTTTTATTTATTAACCACTGAGCAGTGCCTAATTAATTCTATTAGTACTGCTACAACTTTAACCTTCCCCCCTGGTATTACATTCACACCATAACTGTCCTTCTGTTGTTATTACCCTTACCCCCACCCCACTTTTCACTACCCCTGCCCCTCCCCTCGTATCACACCATGACCGCCCTCCTGACTTAACTCAACCAATCTTGACCAAATCCGACCTAAGTGGATTGGTCAGGTTAAGACCAGTATGAGACCAGTTAGGTATCTCGACCTAACCCGACCTAACCTGACCAAACACAACCTAGGGGGACTAGTCATTTTCTGACCAGTTAGGTCTCCTGACATAACTCAACCAATCACGACCAAATCTGACTTAAGTGGATTGGTCAGGTTAAGACCAGTATGAGACCAGTTAGGTAACTCAACCTAACCCGACCTAAACTGACCAAACACAACCTAGGGGGACTGGTCATGTTCCGACCAGTTAGGTCTCCTGTCATAACTCAACCAATCTCGACCAAATTTGACCTAAGTGGATTGGTCAGGTTAAGACCAGTATGAGACCAGTTAGGTAACTCGACCTAACTCGACCTAACCTGACCAAACATGACCTAGGGGGACTGGTCATGTTCCGACCAGTTAGGTCTCCTGACATAACTCAACCAATCTCGACCAAATCTGACCTAAGTGGATTGGTCAGGTTAAGACCAGTATGAGACCAGTTAGGTAACTCAACCTAACCCGACCTAAACTGACCAAACACGACCTGGGGGACTGGTCATGTTTCGACCAGTTTGGTAATCTGACGTAACCCGACCTAACCTGACCTATCTCAACCTAATGGGACTGGTCGCACGATGTCGCTGGTTTCTAGGGTACCCACCAATACAGAGAACGGTGACAGATTAAAATTTGGGAGCAAGGACTAATTCTGAAGTTCTGATCTTGAGAGTTCTGAGAATTTTAGCAAACTTTGACAACTAAGTGTTTAATAGCAGCAGCACTCGGGCCAGATAATCCCAACCAACCCTAACCCGAGATATAGATAACATGAGCAAATTGTGATTGTATAACAGTTTAATGTGAAAAAAATGTGTGATTGTCTGTTATAGGTTTTAGGGTTATACTTAATATATATTGTTTATAGATAGGTAGAAGATATCACGTGATCTAATGGTTGGATTTGAGAGTTTGAGGGCTTTACCACTATCCCGCTATAAGGATTGAACCAAACAAAGTCACTTAGTCTTCTAAAAATGAACACCAAGTACAAAATCACATGATTGCCTTGGTTATTGCTGAGACAAACCAGGTTTTCGTAATGGCAAAATCCAGAACTTTCTGGATAATTTCCCATCTTAATATTAGCTTGTATAAATGGTTTAGGTAAGGTTGGAAAGTAGTACGGTACACATCCACACAGCTTTAACATTGCAGCAGCAGCACATTCAATCAGACAGTTAGCCTAAATTTTAAATTTTCTCATAGTTATAATAATTTTTCCATTCATTCCTCCTCCGGACAAACCGTTTTGCAATGAGGACGGTAAATATGGATAATCCAGCTTTGTGGTTAGAGATAAGAATCGTTTTTGTGAACAAAGGAAATTTTTAATGAACGATGGTGTCGAAATGAAAACAACTATTGTTTTTTTAAAATGAACAAAAACAACAAAAACAAACGATTTAAAATCCTTCAAACGATCTTGATCATTCAATAACAAGTTTGTTCATTTCTTACTAAACGAACAAATTTTCAAACAGATTTTGAAAAATCGATAGTTTTAGTACTGAACAAACAATTTGTTTAATAAAAATTATTAAAGAACCATACTTTTTAAAAAAAACTTATGAAAACGCGATTGTTCTCTTCACTGAAAGAACAATTTTGTGGTGTATTTGTTTTGGAAAAATTGGTTCCTTCAACTATTTATTTCAAGGAGTTATGTTTCAAAAAACTATCTTTTTAATGACCTGTTTATCATAAAATAAAGATAAAATTTGTGTCTCAAAAAAATTAAGTTTTGCTCATCCCTTTTCATTGCTTTTGTCTTGCAATGTGCACATTATTACCCAGCTAACAGAACTGGAAATACTAGTTTAAAAATAATTTGTACAAAGTCGACTTTAATCGTCAATAAATGTCGAGATATGTTGACTTTTAAATACCAGTCCTGAACTTGGCAACATATTGGAGGAAACAATTTGAAAAAAACCTTGAGTTATTCATCTAAGTTTTGGTGAAGTTAAAACTTAATAATTTGCACAAATCTTGTGAAATATTTGAATTTTTTATCCAAGAGTGAACTTGGATGGAACAAACTTGTAAAAATCCCAAATGTGTATATTTTTCAGAATAAGGGGGAGAAGGGCTCAATGATTTTTGAAGATCTGGCAGAAAAAATGAAGAAAAACAAAATTTAATCCATTTCATGTTTTTTTCCGAAATTTTATTCATATTCCTTAATTCAGCGAAAAATATTTTATTATTAATATTTTTACACTCAGTTCAAATATACTTAGCTTAAGGTGAACAAAATTGATTTTCAAAATGGGGGGGATGATTTTTTCAAGATAATATACACCCCTGTCAATTTTACTTGATACCTGATTGTAAACATCAAATGCTTCCAACTTAATTTTCATTTCCGGAACATTAGTTTCTTCGGGTAGTAAACAATTTCTTCTTGATGGAGACATGTCTTTAACACTGTCAGATCTAGTTAAATAAATTTCTTGATGTATGTTCAATAATATTTTTTAGAGGTACTTCTAGACACTTCAGCCACTTCAACCATATGTTTTATTTTTACTTGAGAGATAAAAAATTAAGACAGTTACAAAATTTAAAAATTTAAAATCCAAATTTGAGAGGGTTTTTAGTATAGACTTGTTAATGAGTTTAAGGTCTGCTTTGTTACTGCTCAGAAAGTTTTAACACTGAAGATTTAAAAATGATGAAGATCTGGACCAAATTAGTTACAAAGCTACTTGGGGAAAGACTGTTTGAGATTACCAAACCTCTAGAACACATTCAAATAGATAAAGTTTGACTATACAGATCACTGTATTTTCTCGAGAAAGGCATCTAACAAGGCATTTGATTTAAATTAAAAATTAACTGATATTACTTAAAGAGAAAACCTTCACAGATAAATCCATCCAGAGAATCTGATCTTGTATACAATTTAAAGTGTAAGCCTTACGATATTGTAACTTGTGATGATACACCAATAAAAGTTTCAGCTCCCAATGGAACCGCAATACTTTTCTTGGATACTTCTGGGAACTCAAATGGAGGATGAACAAGAACCTTAATTAAAAATCCTGTTCCAGAACTGGGATAAACTTTTATTATGAAAGCCTTGAGAGATTTATTTTTAAAGGGGGGGATTTATTGGTGAAATTTATCCCCCTCCCCCCTGGAAACTTGTTTTATACCTTGCAAGTTGCCTTTTGTATCGTCAGATTTAAAAACTAAAAATTTAGGACTTAACACACCATTGTACACCAAGGTGCTTTTTGGCTTTCTATGCATATATTAACGATATAAATTGCATTGTAAGAAATATAGAAAACAAACCTCAAATCCTTGAAAAAAGTTGTTTGCTGTTCCAAGGTTGTTAAGTACAAATTCATCTAGGACCAGATTTAATGAGCTGAGAGAAGTCAATGAACTATGTTAAGACACCACAATTCAATCACATTTCTTTTATGGCTTTTTAACTCCCTATAGTTTTGCAACTAGTTGATTATTGAAATTTTTGATATTGAAAACAAAGATTATTTCATAAAGCAGATTGTATAGTTTGAAATATCTAAGGACTATGAAATTGGGCTGCAAAGATAAAGTGATTAGAAAGTCAGAATTTGTGGCAAAATCTTAATTTTGAATCAGTATTGAAGGATTTGAGCCAATGAGCACTTAACCCTATCCCCGCTGGGGTACTTGAAAACCAGGATACGCTGGGGGGGGGAAGCGAGCATTCAGTACATTGCACTTGGTTCCGCAAATATGTCGCTTCTAGCGAGCATTCAGTACGTTGCACTTGGTTCCGCAAATATGTCGCTTCTAGCGAGCATTCAGTACGTTGCACTTGGGTCTGCAAATATGTCGCTTCTAGCGGGCAAGATTGATTAATATTTCAGAAAAGTTACACCACTTTGATTCTTAATGTGACAGCAGACATTATTTTAAAGTGACCCTTCATTGTTAAAGTGTAATGTTTGACGACAGTTCCCTTGAAATCTTTGACTTACTAAAGAAAACGAACGTATTTTTACAAGTTTTTAAAAGAATTTATCTGATTAATAATGTGGAAGATATTATCGTTTCTCGAGGTTTGAAAGTGGTTATTTTAAATATTTCCATTATTCCTGCAGTATAAATGCACAATTGTCACTTTTGTAGAGAAAACTCAATTGAAAATAAACAAAATTAATTTAAGATTATAAAATCATACTTAATCAGATAAAACTTTTTAGGGTGAATTGTACACTGCCATTTTTGCATGGAGGGTCAATTAAAATTACGCTTCCATTCCTTTTAACATTTTTAAATATTACCCTTTTAGAGGTCCACTGTACCGGTAGGATGTGTAGGAACTCTTCACTTTATAACGGCATTTCCAATATTTTCCGCTGTAGGCATTTCCTTCCGCATAACAATATGAATATGGATCAACATACGGAAATTCAGGCGTTGGAGTCTCCTCCTGTATAAGGTGAGAATGAAATCAGGTATCATAACAACAAGATAAACCAAGAAATTTTTAATAATTGGATTTTGAGCCCCAACAATCTTCCAAAAAGAGTCAAAATGGTAAGCTTTTAGGAAATTCTTGTCGTCCGATTCTTGTAGTTTTGCATAATAATGTACACACTGTTCCATTGAGACCGTCACTCGAATGAAACCTTTTGCAATAGATACATCCATGTCTATAGATATCATAACAACCAATTTTAAAATCTGCTCTGCGTGTTAAGATGGCTAAAAATCACTTTTTTATTTTCGCGGATTTTCTCACTTTTTTACAAGAAATAAATCAACAATGTATCCGAATGCATTTAACAAAATGTGAAAAAGCAAAAAATCTTTTTTATTTAAACAAAAACTGATATACTTTGCTAACCACCCCCACACTGTATGTGTGAGTATATAAAAGCCTGAATAAACTGCGTAAGTTGTTACTATAGTCCCATCCTTTAAGGGTAACCAATAACCATATATATTAAGAACTTCTTAATATTTGTGGGTTTAAAGCTAGAACAATTTAAATATTTTACGACAGCTCTTAAACGTACTTTGACATTTGTATAACAATTGTAAAAGTCTGTGAGAATGAATTTAAAATGATATTTTAACTAACTGGCCTAGTTTTCCACAATCCATCTGTTTGCCTTGCCATTTGCAAACCAGGAACATTCGCTCACAACTCGGGGTAATCTTAATGAAAATAGTAACCACTTCAAATTAAAGGGACTCTAAGCGTAGTTTTAAGTAACCCTCAATTTGTAGACGTGTTTAACTCACAACAGTACCCTTTAAGCCTTTATTTATTGCTTTCAATCGCAGATTCTCTAAAAAAGTGACATGCAGATTTCTTGTTACAGAAATATTGGAAAGGAATTGTGAGAATTAAACACATTTAATAATAAAAGACCTCGTTTATTGATTAGAAATTGGTTTAAAGTGTACTATAGTGAATCCAAATATCTCTTTAAAAGAATTGGGCCACTTAAAAATACAAAGAGAGATCCTTGTGGAGAGGGGTTATTATGTAATGGAGTTTTATAAAATTGGATCATATTGAAATAATAGGGATTATAGTTGTGTGATTCACCAACAACAGGGGGAAAAGTATCTTGTGGTATTATTCACTAGGTGGGGCACCCTGTAAGCTGTATAGGAGATGGCTCTCTATCCCTAAATATTGTAAACAACATGTTTGAATAGTTATCAATTGTTTCTGTGATTTATGTATTTATGCAAATCTTTTGTATGAACTCATTTATTCTATTTTTTTATTCCATTTCTAAGTTTACAGTACTTTTAAGTTGGGTTTTACTTTGGGCACTAGACTTGAGACTAGGGTTGTTAATCGTTTTTGAAAACGATCGTTAAACGATCGTTTTTTGTTTCGTTTTCAGTCGTTAACGATCGTTAACGAAGGGCCGTCGTTAACGATCGTTAATAAAGGGTCGTCGTTAATGATCGTTAACGAAACGACGAATTTTATAAAAAACGATCGTTTCTAACAACGAGCGTTTTGAAAAACGATCGTTTTAAAAACGACCATTTTTAAAAAACGAACTTTTTAAAAAAACGATCGTTTTTAAAAACGATCGTTTCGTTTTCGATTTTTCGTCGTCGTTTTCATAACGAAACGATCGTTTTTCTGAAAAAATGAAAACGTTAACATCCCTACTTGAGACTAAGCTAGGGAACTAGGGTTGAGACTATACTTCTAAATTGTGGCCTGTAATGTTGCATACGACTGACCTTGTACATCAGCGTGGGAAAAAACAGTTCCAACATTTGTTTCCAAGACACAGTTTGGATGAACGTTTCTTCCATAACTGCAGGATCTGAGATAAACTTGATGTGCTGCATTACAATCTAAATATAATTTTATTTATGTTTCACCCTTTAGACAGACAGTGCACTTTCATCTCTTGACAGTGCACTTTCATCTTTTGCCAGTGCACTTTCATCTTTTGACAGTGCACTTTCATCTTTTGACAGTGCACTTTCATCTTTTGACAGTGCACTTTCATCTTTTGACAGTGCATTTTCATCTTTTGACAGTGCACTTTCATCTTTTGACAATGCACTTTCATCTTTTGACAATGCACTTTCATCTTTTGTCAGTGCACTTTCATCTTTTGACAGTGCACATTCATCTTTTGACAGTGAATTTTCATCTTTTGCCAGTGCACTTTCATCTTTTGCCAGTTCACTTTCATCTTTTGACAGTGCACTTTCATCCTTTGGCAGTGCACTTTCATCTTTTGCCAGTGCACTTTCATCTTTTGACAGTGCACTTTCATCTTTTGACAGTGAATTTTCATCTTTTGCCAGTGCACTTTCATCTTTTGCCAGTGCACTTTAATCTTTTGCCAGTGCACTTTCATCTTTTGACAGTGCACTTTCATCTTTTGACAGTGCATTTTCATCTTTTGACAGTGCACTTTCATCTTTTGACAGTGCACTTTCATCTTTTGAAATGTTTGGACTTCTCAGATTTTTTTTTAAAATTTTTAAACTTCTCATGCCGTCTTGGGGGTTAAGTGGTTAGATTGCGAAAAAGTTATAAAGGGAATACTGTTAATTCATAATTGTTAACCCATGAAATAATGTTATACAAGTTTGTGTTAATTTTAGAGAAAACTTTTAAAAAAACTGACAGAGTGTATAAGAATATGATGATGCAGCTCTGTCAGTCGTCATTGAGTTAAGGATGCTGATCGATAGGAATAAAGGTTGAATGGACTAACTGATCTAAACAGTGTTGTTGTCCATTTGAACATTATTTGGTATGCACGAAATTAAACATTTGATGAGTTCAATTGAGCAATTTTATTTACGCGCCAATTTTTATTTTGTACACTACAATTATAGTACAAAAGATGTTCAACCATTCTACGCCATTTTAACATTATTTCAAATAAATACTTTCAAATTAAACATAATTGTTCAAATGGATCCGACGCCGTACTGATTCTAGATTCATTTCTTTAATATTACAGTACTAATAGAGATTAGTCCTAATGAAAAGTTCAATTCATAAAATTGTTTAAATGAACTGAATTATGAATTGAAATTTTAGTGTTATTGAACATTAATCCTAATGAACTTTTTTCAAGAAAATTTTTTAGATAGACAAAAAAATTTGTAAATAATTTTACTACTCTATGAACTTTTTTTCACAGAAAAAATTGTTCAAATCTTCCACAGTTTCACAGTTTTGCACAAAATGGTTTTGTTTGCATGAAATTTTGCATCCTTTTTGTATCAATACGAAACCAGCTTTGCACGAAATTGCCCATTTATTGTAAAAAATTGTTTGCACAGAATTGCGCATGGATACGAACTTAAGTCATAATTTTTGCACAATATTGCGATGCGAAACCAAGTAATATTTGTTGCATAATATAGTGCATGAATTGGAAATGAAAGATTTAAATATTTGAACATTATAATGTAAATCAGTTGCAGTAAAAAAACAACTTCCATAGCATAACTTCACACGAATAACCAGAATCAAATTTTGAATTTATGTATTGTAATTTATAAATGAACGTATATGTAAATTAAATATAATTGAATTATTTATGGTTGTAGTGGTATATGGCAACTTAGAAAATTTACTCTCTGCTCTTAGCTTTACCCATTTTAACCCATTTTCTCTTCTTATAGAAACTGTAGATAGAAGTGAACTTAGTAGCTATAAAGTCCTTAAATATGATTTGGATTTAGCATATACCCCCTTCTATTTTTCGCGAACACTCCCTTTAAGTTAAAAATATTTTTTTAATACAATAATGACTCAGAATATCATATATATTCCTGAAAACCATGAAATCATTTAATTTTTATATTTGCTGTTATGTATTTGGCAATTTGACTTTTCTTATGTAATATATATGTTACTTACTTTTCCCAGATCAACATGACCATGGTGTAATACTCTCCACGGCATTCTCTGAAAAACATGACATGCCAAACCACAAGTTTTCTTGCCAAACCAAATTTAAAGAAATTATTATTTCGAAGCTAAAAGTCCGAACCGCCTAGCTCTTTTTGCAGTATATTACAGCTCTCAGAAAATTTTAAATTTTTCACTAGTTTGCGAAATTAACACTTTTATGACTCATTTTTCTTTTCTTTCCCAACTTCTTATTTTCTTAGTTACTCACTCAATGATTCACATTTACTCATTCTCTAGTAAACTCACTTATGTTCTCACTTATATCTCATTTTATGGTAAATAACTAACCTTCCATTCTTCATAGAACTGATTTCTGGAAACCCTGAAATATGAAAACCTAGGGTTGAATGTAAAACTTCTTTAATGCCGAGGCATTTAGAGCAATATTTTTTGTTACTTTTATTAAGAATATCAAATTGTCAAAAGAATGTTTAAATCATATTTCCCAACTTTAAAACTTTGTCAGAGAAGTGTGTGAAAAATTAATGGTTCTTATAAAAGATACAGAAAACAAAGTTGAGAACTAAAATGTTGTGACGGATGTCCTGGGAAATTGAATATGAAAACTCTGAAATTAACATTTAGAGTATATCACCATCACTGAAAAATGTTTATGAATTGAAGCAAAACTCTGAAATCATTCTGCTCAATTGGTCCAAAAAACATAGACATTTTTCTGATCATTTCAGAAGACAAAAAATGAATGATGTATGTTTGCACTTACCTAATATTTGAGCAGACTGTAACCCCAGGGAATTTAATGTTTGATATTGGATAGTTTGTTGTATCTATTGAAGTGAATGTTGGAGCATCAATATACTAAATAGAACTAACCGTAAATGAACGAATTATAAAGAGCAACGAAATTTAGTTTTTCACACAAACTATGATTTTTTAATTAGTATTATCATACTCATTAGTTATTTCGAACTTTAAATTCTGTTAGATCAAAGGTTGAAATAAAAAGGTTTACAAAATCAAGTTGCAAACATATTGTGATTTGAAAATTTTATTTTAGTAAAGACCCAATTAATTTGAGAAATAACGACACACCGTTAGATTTGGGCATGGTTTTTGTAAACCAACGAAATTTTTGTGAACAATCAAAATTTTTTCTTGAAAAAGGGTGTTGTGTAGAAAACAAAACAAACGATGGACAAACGAATTAAGAGAAATGAAAATAATATTATTTTTTAAAAACAATGGTATTTTTACTGATTTTTACTATTCATTTTATTAAAAAAAATATTTGTTTGCAAACTTTTTAAAAATGAACGATTTACTGAACAATACTTTAGTGAGAAAACGAACGAAATAGATGGAAAATTAACAATAATTTTGAGAGCAAACAAAATCAATTTTTATTAAACGATTGAAAAAAAACTAAATGGGTCTTTCACAAACGATGAACGATTGAAATGAAAGAAGGCGAATGCACATTGTATAACAAGAGATATAACAAATAATATTACAAGTAATATAAATGTAGAACCTTGTTGAAAAGGTAGATATTCATCGCCACACTTCTAGACTGTACTTAAAATTACACTTAAAAGTTTTAATACCTACCTTGTTGAATAGTGGTGTAGTTAGAAAGACCAAGAACACTAAAGCAAGGATGAAAAGAATCACCCAAAGAACACGCTGAGCCCAAATTACACCATCCTAGAATCAGAGTTTACAGTTAATATTTAAAAATACAAAAACATTTTTTAATTTAAAATTTTTGATAAAAACCTCTTACCTCTGTTACGTACTTTAACCCATGCAGTGAGGTTTCGGAACAAAATTCGTAGACCTAAGTATATGAAATATAGCATTAAGTTAGATTTTTTTTCATTCGTATAGCTTAATTCTTAAAAGCCAGCTAATTAAAAAACATAGGCAAGGAAAGGTTTAAAAGTATTTCTAAAAAATGAAAAAAATAAAATTTGTTGGTATTTTTAAATGTTAACAAGTGACACATGTTTTAAATTCATTTACAAAATAATGAGATGAACTAAGAAATATGTTATTTAAGCTTTTGGAAATCCTTAGCCTTACCCTATTCATTGCACAAACAAGTTTTAGGGAAATCTGGAAATTATCATTTCTTAAAAGTTGGGAGAAGTTTCAAGGTGATAATGTTAAAAATGAAATAAACTTGGGTTGGCTGGGTTATTCTCACCTCCTCTATTTTCGGACATTTTACTTTCCAATTTCTCCGCTTGAATTCCTTGAATTGCCCTGGTTGTGGTAAAGGTTGAACTCTATTTGAAATCCAGGCTTTCATCATTAAAACCCTCTCGGGCCTTTTAAAAAAAGTAGTTAGATTTTATTTATTATTAGAATTTATATCATTAGGGGATATTAGTTCCAAAACTAACACTTGGCCCATTTCTAACATTGAAATGGGCACAAATTAAAAGACTGGGGTTTTAGGATCCCGGCCCATACTGAGAGTAAAAGTCAATAGAAAAAACTACAACCAACATTTTATTAAACATCACATAGACAACAATTCCAAATTGTAAACTATTTTCTTAAATCAAAATTATAAAAGGAATACTTTTTATATTAAAACCCTTGACCGTTTTCAAGACAATGTCAGGTTTTCAATTTTTGAACTTATCCTGAATTTGAATCATTGTCGCATTTTCGAGATAAACCCCACTTTCCCGTTTTTGAGTATAATCCACAATTCAAAACAAAACTCATTTATATTTCACAATTTAATTGTTAAATAAGAGAATAAAATTGATTTAGTTAACTACATTTTAATCAATCAATTTCCCGCATTTCTATCTAAATTTACATTGCAAGAACAAAATAAAATTAATACTTTGATTTCTCAAAGCCGTTTTTTTAATTACAAAAGAACGATATGTTTTTATTTTCTATTTTGTTTCTATTTTACCTTATCAAAAAATCTTGTTTTGTGACGTAAGTGCGTAAATACTTAAAAATTGATATTGATATGAATTAGAATAATTGTCTCAAAACCAGAATATGTTTCAATAACGCGACATGAGCTGAAATGCAGTAATTGTTTCAAAATATGGATATGTTCAAAAATAAAATCAAGAATCATCAAAACTAATTCTCACACCTTTTTATTAGTTTAAAGTTGACATTTTTTGTTTCAGTAAATAGTTTTAGACATTTTTTATAAATGTATATACGCTTTAAAAGGAAAACTTTGCAAATTTGGCCCATTTCTAACACTCAGTGTTAGAAATGGGCGAAGTGTTAGTTTTGGAACTAATCTCTGTATTATTAAACCTGTTTGGATAGTTCTTCTCTATTGGAACTTCCATCTGAAAAAATACATGTGAAAAAATACATGCGAAAAAAATATTAAATACACATTTAACAGAAAATTTGGAACGCAAGTTACACCATCATTGTAACCTCAAATTCAGCTTAAATGAGTGAATTGGAAAAAGTTTTCATAAATGCTGTAAAGTACAGTGGTTGCCAAAATAAAGTTAAAGTGGTTCCAGAAGAAAGTGGAATATAAAGAAATAAGAGATGCCGGTATAATCTAAGTTCTAATTAAATGATTTGAGTAGTCGAAGTCCATTCTAAGTTCCTACTTAGAATTTGTTTTCAACTGATTTGGAAATATTATGATGATTGATGCAATAACCATATTAAATCAAAGAGAGCAGAAAAAAGTAAATTTTGTTTGAAATATTTATCTAGATACAACATTATTGATTCCAGAATGTTGAAAAGTGTATCAATTATACGCTACGCCTACGCTCATGATGCTTTAGGACCCAACCAACCCGGTCTTGGCCTTGGCAATGTAATATTCCCTCATATATTTATTGCATCCCTATATGCTTCCCTGTAGTAAAGAGATAAATAGTTAGTATACGGCGCCAGAGATGAAAGAGTTACAGAGATCGATCAACACCTATAATATGCGATATTTTCCACAGCATGTTCTATTGTGTACAAGTACTGTACACGACCAATCAGGAGACATCTGTATTCAGGGATATTTAAGGATCCTTTGAATAGGAAATGCATAATCTTAAAAATAGATAATATTCATAAACGTTATGTTTTATGTATAAAATTGGAGTATTTCTTTAAAAGTTGTAAAACTTAACCCCTGAATGCAACAAGTGGCCGTTAGATGTTAGTCATATAACAATACATGGAACCGTAGCATGGCGTGCCGGGACACTATAGGCCTTCTCAGCCTATCCATGGGTAGAGTATAAAAGCAGTCTGTGGTATAAACCTTTAAAATTATTCTATGATTTAGTACGGCTGGAGTTTACTTTAATATACAAATATTTCGGTTAAAATCAAGCTGATTTGTTTTCATAATTCTCCACACTCGATGCATTCAAGCACAAAATATATTCGTGGCGCTTGCAGATCATAAATAAGCAATTGAAAGACGACATTCTACAAATTATTTCGTTATCTTCTGTGATAAACCGTACTCTATTTTATTAAATATGTCCGTTCCTTCACAGCTATAGAAACTATGTTGGCGGACTAATGGTAATGTTTGCTCAAATAGTTTTAGTTAGAAACACTAAAGCAAGCCTAACTATATATATTATTCAATACTACAGAGTTACCCACAGATTGTAGAGAGTAAACATTACCTGAAACTAGACATGGGCACGTTTAATTTTTTTCTTCATTTCTCTCATTCATCGTTTAAGTGAACAAGCTATTTTTTAATCATTAAAAAAATGGATTCGATTGATGGATAATTATTGTTCATTTTCCAACTATTTCATTCGCTTTCTAACTGAACGATTGTTCAGTACAATCGTTTGTTCAGAAAATTTGTTCTTACAGTAAAAAAAAACGTTTTTTCGAAAGATTGTACGAAAAAATCACCATCATTCAAGAAAAATTTAGTCATGGTTATCCAAAACGATGCCAAAACTCTACCTGAAACTCAGGCAGTATGACGCGATCTTCTGCCTTGAATTTGGTCTCTTAATTGCTTACTGGTATTCAACGATTTGCCAAAAAAAGATACGAGTTTACGGTTGCAGGAAACCACGGAAGGAAACAGATAATATACACTCCGCCCCGATCCAAATTATCCTTTGAGGGTAAAGTTAAATTCAGTCAAAATCAGAAAGACCCGGAATTAATTGACAACTAATCACTAATCAGACGACTTTACATATATATGTCTCTGGCAATTTTAAATGCCCATCAAAGGCAGACCACATTTTGGAAATGGCAGGACTATGGCTATTTTGTGATTATCGGTTCAACAATCAGAAGTCGTCGTAAATTAATTCCGGGTCTTTCTGATTAAGGTCTGCACCAAAGAATCAATTTTCAGGTTTTTGTAATCTAAAGAGATTAGTTTAATGGGCCAGCACATAGATTTTTAACACTATAAAAAGTTGCAACAATTTTCAAGACTGCGTCGTTTTTTATCTTTCTTAACACATTTGTAGCACTGTAGACACGTATTTATCATAGCTTGTTTCCAAATTAAGTTTTGGAGTAATTGACAAAAAAGCTTTAAGGGTTTTCATTATTTTTAGATTTTTGGGTATTGGCGATTTCTCTCCTCTCCCCCTCCTCATATTTATTGGCAGCCTTACGTAACTATCTATCTGTTTTTACCTATCCCTCCAATATTCTCATATTATATTTTTAACCATTGTCCACAGAAATCTAGACAGCTTTGGAAAGTTTTCAAGGCGAGTCGAATTTTAATTGTCGCTACGCTGTATCAGTTTATTTAACTTCACTTTAAAACTTTCATAAATTTTTGCGTGCACAACTATATAGGAAATATTTAGGAATAAATGATTTTATAAAATAATGATGAAACATTTTTATTTAATTTAGTTTTAATATTTGTTCTGCAAAAGTTTTGTATAATGTTAATCATTAATTAACCTAACTCAATAATTCCAAATTGTTGTTAGCTAGCTACAGGGTTACCCACAAAAGATAAGACTGTAAAGACGACTTAAAACATGATCAAAACCGAGTTTAAATTGGCTTTGCTGCCTTGAATATAGTCTTTAATTGGCTTATTTCCGAATTATTCTGAAAATAATGAATGTGAAATAATATCAAAATAAAATAATCTGCAAAGACGGAGTAGATGTTGCAAACAGAAGTGTGTGTGTGTGTGGAGGGGGGTCTTTTACTCATCATTTTCGCCTCCAAATGTTAATTATAAAATATATAACATTTTACAGAACTTGTTTTTCTCTCTCAGAAATGCCCCTATTAGAAAAAAAATAACCAATTCTGCAATGGACATGGGTTCTGAACTAAAAAAGTTTTGATCGGTTTAAATCAATTAAGTTTTAGGAAAAATAATTCTATTTAGCATTTACGATTTGTAGATAAACAGGGTTACCCACAAAGAATGAGACTTCAGAGACGACTGTACGGAATTCATTGATGATTCCCTACAACTGGAAACCTTTGGCATAACAATGAATAAGGCATCCAACGACTGTATTTTAGGCAGAGTCAACCTTGGAATCAGAATATTTATTAAGTTTCATGTCGTCCTTACAGTCTAATTCATTGTGGGTAAGACTGTAGTGATGTACTTAAAAAATCAAATTAAAAAGTTTGTAAAAAGTTACAATATATTCGGACATTATTGTGTATTTTTCAACTAGCATTTAAACCATGTAAAGATTCACTAAATATATAGTGTTGTTAACCATTAACTTTAAGACCTCTGTGTAATGTCGTCATTAACTGAAATCCCCTTTCGGAGTCACCAAACCAAACAAAATAATTTCAGCCCCCCATTTCTTTGTTCTCCTGGGGACGGAGCCTAAAACACTTTCGTTTATTATGAAACCATTAAAGTTAAACAAGAATATTTTCAAATGAAGAATTAGTGAATTTTGTTAAATATTCAACTGTAATTTATTTCAGAAGTTTTAAAAAAACGTATTTCAATACTGATCAACAGTAAGTTAACCCCTTTCTCATCCGCTAATAAATCGTAAGATTTTTTCTATTATTAACATTTATTATAACATTGTACAAGTAACCATGACCTATAATTTATGTTATTTTTTAGGAAATAAAGATTTTCTTGAGACGGGGGTTACTCTGTTGTGTGTATTTGCGGCCAACCGGGAAAGAATTGTCCGTGGAGAATAAACATCCCCCACCAAAATTCCAACGGGCCTATTGTTCAAATTTATCTGGTGTGTTGCTGTTATCTGTCAACAAGTGTATATGAAACTAAGTAGAATCCGAAGTTATTCTAAAAATATTTTTAACACTGCTTGGTATAAACAGTTTAACCTAGAAATTAAAGAGACATCGAAAGAATCTATAAAATGTTGTCTTGACAATTTTTCAATGGCGTTTAAATATTTATACCTAAATTTTGGTAATAGTAAAATAAATAAATAGCTATAAAATATTCGGGAACAGTTATAAAAGGCTTCATGTAATTTTTTAACTATAAAACTAAACATCTGCAGCATTACATCTTCAGTAGGTTTAGAATACGACATTTTAAAAATTCTTTCGATGTCTCTGAAGTTCTGGGTTTTACTGTACATATTGTCTCGCATTTCTTTCTCTAGAGAAAAAAAAAACTGCTAAAAATATCAAATATATTTAGTGCACGAATAAATAATACTATCAATATGTGAGGAATTACACTTTTACGTTAGATTGATAAAAGCACAATAAATATTGAATTAATTACAAATAATATATCGACAGATTAAAAATAAGGAGGAGGGGGGGGGCGGGGATGATGAACAAAAGCTGAACTAGGTTGTGTCTATATCGGGGAATGATTTTTTATGCTCAGAAAAAAACGAGAAAAGGAAAGTTTTTACATACATTTTTCAAAAATTTATTTGGTGGATAAACCCCTAAAAACATCACTATAAACGTTTGAGGAAAATATGATTTTAAAAAGGAGGAATGATTTCAAGAAAGTATAAATATAATATCATGTGATCTTTGTGAAAGTGCCGAAGTAAAGTTATTAATTATTAAGTAGAAATGGTCGGATTTAGTCGAATAACAAACTATCACAAAATCTTACCTTATCGATGAATTTGTATTTAACAACATGTTCAAATAGAAATCATTTAAAAATCAAAACAAATAATTTTTCCCTTCAAATGTCTTTTGACTTGATTTTGAGCAAAAACTGGGAAAACACAACAAAGCCTTTGTTAGCAACAGGTTTAAAAGCTCTACTGCCTTGCCATATCTTAACAACAGTTTGTCATATCTTAAAAACAGCTTTTTAATGTCTCAACGAAATCTTTGTCATTTTTTAACAATAGCCTTGCCATTGCCATGTTATAACAAAAGCTTTGCAATGCCTTAACAACAGCTCTGCAAAAGCTTTGCCATGCCTAAACAACAGCTTTGCCATGTTATAACAAAAGCTTTGCCATGCCTAAACAACAGCTTTGCCATGCCTTAACAAAAGCTTTGCCATGCCTTAACAACAGCTTTGCTATGGTTCAGCAAAAGCTTTGCCATGCCGTAACAGCTTTGCCATGTTAAATGCAACCTTTGTCATATTAACAATAACATCGTTATGTTATAACAGTAGCTTTGCCATGCCTCAACAACAGCTTTGCAATGTCTTAACAACAGCTGGCCTTGTCTAACGACACTTTTGTAATGTAACAACATCAACATTCGTCATGTTACAACAGTAGCTTTGCCATGTCTCAACAGCTTTGCCATGTCTAACGACACCTTTGTTTCGTTTAAAAAGATTCTACAGCAGTGTAGTGTATAAGCGTATTGACAAAATATGAATATATAACACAGGGGTAACTAGAATTTAAAAGCAGTCAATGAAAAATAAACTTTAATATCTTTAACTTAATGAAGAAGTATTACTTAAACAAAGTTTGCCTTCAGAAATCCACTAAAATGTATTTTAAAATCCATTACTTTAGAAGATTTTGAGAAACATTCTTGTAAATATCTCAATATGTCTGTAAATATTTAACTGGTGAACATGAGTTTAAACTGTTGGATGAAGGGTTCACATTTGTCTTCGCTTGTGAAACGAGGATTACCACGAAGCCTCAAATTTCTCTCCTCGAAAAAACTGAAAAACAATTAAAACTAAATCCAGAATTGAATACTTTTCTAAAGGGGACAGTTGGGGTAGTTTTAAGTGACTCTCCATGTCAAGATGGCAATGCATAATTTAAAATGTTCCCCTTTAAAGCTTTGTCTGATCAAGACTGAATTCATGAAAACTGATTTTATTCAATTGTGGTTTCTCTGCAAATATGGCATTTCTACTGCAGAAAAACCATGAAATATAACCAGAATTCAACACTTTTCCAGATGAAAAGACTACGTTAGCTTCCACGTTGGATGAATGATAAATATAAAGGTTACTTGTAAACATGGTAGAATATAGTTGGATGAATGATAAATATAAAGGTTTACTTGTAAACATGGTAGAATATAGTTGGATGAATGATAAATATAAAGGTTACTTGTAAACATGGTAGAATATAGTTGGATGAATGATAAATATAAAGGTTACTTGTAAACATGGTAGAATATAGTTGGATGAATGATAAATCTAAAGGTTACTTGAAAACATGGTAGAATGTAGTTGAATGAATGATAAATCTAAAGGTTACTTGTGAACATGGTAGAATATAGTTGGATGAATGATAAATATAAAGGTTACTTGTAAACATGGTAGAATGTAGTTGGATGAATGATAAATATAAAGGTTACTTGTAAACATGGTAGAATGTAGTTGGATGAATGATAAATATAAAGGTTTACTTGTAAACATGGTAGAATATACTTGGATGAATGATAAATCTAAAGGTTACTTGTAAACATGGTAGAATGTTGTTGGATGAAGATCTTTAGAAGCTTCCAGATATTTCCGAGCAGATATACTCTCACCTAATCCATTGGATCCAGCTGCAAAGGAGATAAATTAAATATATTAATCAACTATGTATCAATTAACAAAATACTGGAGACATTGAGAAAAAATAGTGATAAAAATATTTAATTAGTGAATCTATAGACTCTATGCAGATATTCTCAATATACCCCTAATTGGGGTCTAGAGATTAATTCACCAAAAATAACCAAAAAAATCAATTCGACAAATCTATTTCAGTTAAAATTAAGTTTTAAAAATCTAATAAATTAATGAATCATATAAAATATTAAATCAAACTAAATATTCACTGGTCCAGGGGGGGGCTTAGCCCCAATAGCCCCCCCCCCCTAAATACGCCTCTGAAGAAATTAGCCAATTATCTCATTAAACATTTAATTCGAAAACGTCACATCTTTTATTTAGATAAGTGATAAAAAGTAGCATTACCGTTCCTGGTTATGAATAAATCTGTATGTGCATATTAAAATCTTCTGAAAATATATCATCATATTTAATATGCATATAATTAATAAGCAAACATCTTCCAGTTCACAATTATAAATTGATTAATCAATGCAAATATTGATCAAATAATCCATTTACCCCCCTCACCCTGTATGAATCTAAATTGTACAATTATCTTCTTCTTTTTAACTAGATCTGATCTGACAAATGATTGGGGAGTTGTATTTCTGTTAATCAACGAAGATGCGGTACGTAACACCGCCATTTTGTTTCGGAGGAAGTTGAATTCCAAACCAAAAATAAACCAGATCGGCGAAAGTATCAACTCCAATATTAAGAAATGGAAGGATCTTGATCTGATTAGATGATTTAACAAAGACTCAAGCTTGAAGTATATCACCAGATTACAATGGCACAAACGAAAACCATATAGTTGAACTGTACTTGCTATTATGCTTCAATTCATTAATTTTTGCAATATTATGTGGATACAAACAATTAAATGGTTAAATATTAATTAAATATGGAAGCAATAAATACTAAATTAAGTAGTTAGATTAATAAAATTCAATGGCGGAGTGATAATGTTAACACAGTTAATTTATTGGGAAGCCATGTTAGATTTTGATTGCAGAGGTTTCTCCAAATTCTAGAATATTCTTTTTTCCATCTGTCTATCACAGTTGTTGAATCTTCAACTTCAGATAGAAGCAGTATCGCCTACGCATTCAAATCAATTAAAAATCAAATAAACAAACAACCAATCAATCAATCAATCAACAAACCAACCACCATCCAACCACCCAAACACCAACCAACAACTAACACACCAACCACCACCCAACCAACCAATAACCACCCAACCAATATTCAACCAACCAATCAATATCCAACTAACCAAACAATAACCAACCAACCAACCAACCAACCAACCAACACACCAACACACCAACACACCAACCAACAAACCAACTCACTAACAGAAAGCAAATCTTTATGCCTTTTTAAGTAATCATATTTTTGCATCAGGCAAAAATATGAAAATAAGTTACCTAAGTTAATGGCTTGAACAACCTTTCCCTCTGCTAAACAAATTTCAAGCAGTTCCTCAACTCCATTCCCAAGCCTATTATATACCAATAAAATGAGAACGAGTTTGAATTTTAGGGTTTGATTGTTTTCAAGCTTTTTTTTTGATTGAAAGTTTACATGTAATCAAAGAGAAGCTTTTTTTACTCGACTGTGTGTTTCTATGTTTATGGGTATTCAATGAAGTTAAAAAGCTTGATATAAATCAAAATTTAAATTGAAGGTCGTATAAAATTTAATTTTATTCTAATTTTTTTATGAATTCTAAATCTTTGATGTCTCTTTTATTGCCTGAAAGGACTGATAGCTCTACAACTAAACTATTTTTGTTAATATTTTTATCTTAGCAACCTGATATCGTAAACTTTGGATATTTCAAACTTGGAATTCTACTTGATTAAATATTAAATAGGCTTAATTAAAATTCACAATCAGGTTTACACAATCAGGTTGGAAATATATGGAGGAAAGACAATTAGAGTTTGAGTAGAGTAATTAGTTCCTTTTACTAAATATATTTTAGGGGTCTTTAAAACAATTATTTTAACAATGGCATTGGCATGTCTGATTTACAATGGTACCCTTAAAATCCTTGTCTGATCATCAATGAAATATATCCATGTTGAAAACTCTAAATACAGAAGTATCAGAATTAAACATTTTTCAAGCTATAAACACGATCAGGTAAGGGTTGAAGATACCGATGTAAATCGGACATGCTTTTTAAAATATATTTTTTATATAAGGGTTACTTGAAATTACATCGCTACGGTTTCTTTGATTCTAACAATCATATATAGACACAATTAGAGGTGTTTAACCAAAAGGGGATGGACATTTTGTTAAAACATTGGAAAATTATTTTACAAAATGATTTTAATGAATTTTTGATGAAGTTTGTTACCTTGCCATCATATCCAGGGCTATTTGTCGGGCCGGAGGATAAACACTTTCTAAACATCACAATACTGGAAAACAAACTTGGGGAGTAAAATCAATTTTTGGAAACATGAAACTGTAAGAAGTTCATTGGAAACCCAACTAAAAATCTGATTTCCTTAAATTTGGCCTCATAATTTTATTAAAAATAGACCTAAAGGGACTGTAAAAAAACGAAAGGGGATATAGACTGAAAGCTTTTTACTTTAGCTCTTGATCGCGCCTTATACAAGTTATATCTGATATTCCTGTCTCGAGAAATTGATAAAAAACTGTGTCAAATTTATATGAAAATTGCTATATACAATTTAGTACAGAAATGGTAGGTTTAAACAGATCATATTCAGCAAATACGCAACCAATCTGAAAACGAAGATATCTCAGAGAAATCTAATTGTAACTTAGGTTTTCTCCAATTATTATTTATAATTTCTATTTTTATTTTTAATTGATAATATTATTCATAAGTACGCATGACGTCATTAGAACTCCCACCAATGGTAGTGCAGTACACTGGTTACATGATACAGACAGAGACACGTGACCAGTATACTGCACTCGCATTGCTGAGAGTTCTGCTGCATAGGTATGAATTTATAAAGAGACTGTAAACGCGATTTCAAGTGACCCCCCCCCCCCCATTGATAGAAGTGGCATGTCCAATTTCCAATGGTACAACTTAAAGTTTCGTCTGATCAAAAGTGAATTAGATATCCATGTTTTTGTCTGAAAACTTTTTATTACTGATCCGATAAAAACTTCTATGGAACCATTGTGATTTGAACATTCCCCTCATAAAATTACGACGACATAATATAGAATTGTTATTTTCTTATATTTACCAAGTGAGAGGAGAATACAGGCGATATGTTTACTGTCCCCTATAACTCCATACTGTATATATTGATGCATCTGATAAAACCTAAGCAAAAATATATTAATAATGTGACAATTGTAAAAATTGTAAAATAATAATGTATATTTTCTTGAATTAATAATTTTTTAAAAGGGGGACAAAATAAATGATTGTTAGGAGAAAAACAATGAATTTTTGGGTAAAAATATCAAAAAAATGAAACAAGTTTCCTTATGATGTCACATTTTTCATTTCACCCCACAAAATCATAACAAATCAATCCCCCCCCCCCCAGGGGCGGTAATTCTGAAAATATACTCTTCTGGGTAAGTCTCATCCTTTGTAGGCCACCCTTTAGGTTAAAATAAAAACTTACTGTTTGGTTTGCACTGCTAGGTTTATAAACATCTCAAGGATAAACTGCCGAGCTGGAAACTTGAACTGAGATAAAACCAGCAGATACTCTACCAGGACACCCTGTACTCTTTCCAGCTGTACACCTGTAAATTAGTAGTATGTACACCCTGTACTCTTTCCAATTGTACATCTGTACATTAGTAGTATATACACCCTGTACTCTAAACAACTGTACACCTGTACATTAGTTTTTGTACTTCATGACACCTCAAGCACCATGATGGATGAGTGTAACTGTATGTCAGCAATGAAGAAGAAGATGGAGTTATTGCAATGTATCTGGGATAAGGTCAATGTCAATCCTGCACCAAGTTTTGCTGCAAAATCTTACAGTGTGGTAACTAGAGGTAATGAGGATTACAGGGGAACAGGGGCAAGACTAAAGAATCTCACAGTCCCCCTTAGAGCAGGAATGGTTAGGGACAGATCTCCCAGTGTAAAGAGGGGGTTAACTGACGGAATCAACTCTCAAAACAAAAGGAGGAATGAAGAGAAAATTAGAAAGATAAGTCCCCTCCGGCTGATATTTTTCTGTTATGGTATTCCTAAAGGTATCATTGAACAGGATATTGTGGATGACTTAGATAAAGCTGATATTAGGATAACAATTGATGATATTGTGCAGATGTCTAAACCAAATGAAACATCACATGTTGTTAGTTTTAAAATCTCAGGTGTAGCTGAAGATCTTGAGAAAGCCTTGGATCCCACTATATGGCCCTTATCCATTATCGGAAGCGATATTCTGATAGAAATGGAACCACAAGTGTAGAGAAAAATAGTGCTACTGGTGGTAAAACAGCAGAACTTTAAAGGTATGACATCTTTAATCTCAGACATTTTAAGCATTTAAGAACACTTCCTCTTGGATTCTGAGGATCGGAAACACAGCAATACTAACAAAATAAAATTTTTTTTGGAGAAACTCGGGAAATCGTAAAAATTTGTAAAATTTTGCAAAAGCTATTAAACTGAAATTTAGTAAAAAAATTCGAATAGAACATGTAAAACAAAATGCCTTATTTTTTCTAAAGATATGGTTCATTATAATGAAATAACCCCAATTTTATTTAATGAATTACCTTTACCAATTGTCAATGACTAGAAACATTTAGGAAATGTTTTGGAAAGTGATAATTCAATGACAATATATTGCAATTAAAAACGAGCTATTTTCATTTTAAAAATTCATTCCCTTAACCAAGAATTTTATTTTAACAGTCCTGATGTTATTTTGAAACTGTATAATATTTACTGTTGTAGTTTTTATGGATCTAGTATTTGAGACTTGAGTTCCCAACGTGTTTCACAATGTTCATATATGTAAAAACTCTGTTAGCCAGTAGCTGACTAGATGTGTGTCTTTCTATAAGGCTATTGAAGCAAGTTCTAAGCTTTGCATTTGATTTCTTTCTATTTTATGCAAAATTGACCTTAACAGTTCTTGTCAGAAATTTATTTTCTATTGCAAATGATTGTTTTGTAAATCTATCTGATCTTAGTAAAGTCTTAGTTAAGAAACAAATATAATATTTTAATGTCCAATTGGACCATGCATGAAAAGTTCCGATTTTACAAAAACTTTTAAAAACAAGAACGAATAGTTTATATGTTGAAGGATTCGATGATTTCGTAATAACTGAAATGATAAATATGTTATGTAATGAGTAATGATCAATGTGGCCTATTTGTGCCTAATTTTTCATATTTTTCTTTTTGTAAAACTATATATTAAAAATATCTTCACAAATTTAAACTACATTTATATATGTATGTATATCTTTGTGTGTGAATAACTCTTTATAATAATAATTATAAGTCTGGCCTTAAAATCTACCTTCCTTCTCCGCCTGTGAGAAAACTGCCGTGTACAGCTCTGATTGATCCAGTACAACAGCAGGCTTTATCTGTACTGCAGACTGTACATAACCAACCTGTACAAAAAGCATTAAAACATTTATAAATTAGTCATTCTGTTAATCCTTTTACAATTTACACCACTAACTGCCTAGAGCCTAATTCCAAACAGTCTTTAAAAAACATTATTTGCCAATTTAAATCTTAATTCAGACCCACTTCGGTTAATGGATTTTGGTAATTTTTAGTCAAAAAGCTCATGACATTAATAAAGAAGACATAAAAACCTTTAAAAAGACATCATATTGCAACTTTAAAAATAAATTACATTATAGTTTTGAGAATTTAATGACATATTCAAATCATGAATAAATCAAACAACTAGGTGGGTTTCCACGCGAGTAAATAAATAAAATCCAACAAATTAAAGTCATTTCCAAAAAATTTTAAACATAGAAAATGAAGGAACTTACCCCCTGTAGAGTTGGAGGGTCCCCCAGATTCTGATGAATATGGTAGGATAGGACAATGTAGTAGAACATCAGGCTAAATAAATATTATTTCTTACACGGACTGTAATTTCAAGTCACACCGACAACGGTACCCTTAAACACCTTGATTCATAATTCATCCTTCATAAGACAAAACTTTGTATGGAAGGTCGCTTGATATTATGCTTTCAGTCCTTTTAAGGGTTTTCTAGTAACCCTCTTTTAAAAAAGTTAAATACGCATTGAAAACTGTTAACGTTAAATCTCATCAAAATTAAGGAAGATATCTCTGTTATGTAAAGTTAAAAATTTACATTTTAACATTTTTTCCAGTTGAAAGTGACTTTCGGTTTTATGCAACACAGACAAGGAAAGAAATAAATAGGAATTATCAATTTTCTGGTTTCAAGTATGAAGAGTTTTGTTGTAAATCGGGTAATCAACTTTAGAGTCATTTAGAACTACGTCTACAATGTATTGAAGTGAACAGTCTCTTTAATAATGTTTCAAAATTTAGAGAATATTCAAATGGGAACATCACGAGATAAGTACAAAATAATCATAATCTAATACAAAATATTTAGGCTAAATTCCTTGTCAAGTTCATTCTATATCAGATTTTTTTTCCACCTCCTCATAACCCACTTCAATAAGAATCAAGATTGGAAAAATAGTTGTTCGTGATTTTGCAACTTATTTTATTTTTTGAACAATAAAATTAAATATCAGAAATTATTTCAAGTTGTGTATTTTTTAAATATCAGCTTAAGCGCTGTTATGAAAAATTAAAAAACAATTAAAGGGACTGTAAGCAATACACATAATATTTTATGACCATACAAAGTTGATAATGCTTGATTTACAAGGGTACCCTTGAAAGCTGTAAATAATCAATTATCTAGAAAATCGACAACATCTTCCATATAAGTGTTTAATTCACATAATTACCATAAGTTTTCTGTCTTAGAAATGCGCAAGTTGCACTTTTTTAAGTGATATCAGAATTGAAAATAATCCGTTCAAAAATAGTAAAAATCTATATCCAATTCATCCTTCATCAGACAAAGCTTTGCACAGAGGATTACTTGAAATTACACTAACAGTCCCTTTAATGTTTACAAAGAAGGGTTTTGAATTGACCTGAATTTCTCTGCTCTAACAGTTTGATCTTGAAGGCAGTGTTTAAGATGTTTAAGAATAAAAGGTTTGCCGCCAACTCTATGAAGAAGAAATCTACACAACCCAACCTCGTCAATACTCTCTACTCTAAATAGATGATTCAATTGTAAATGAAATCAGATTTGTGTTGTGTTTTGAACGTTATACAGTCATATGGTTTCATCAATCATATTTGTAAAATTAGATTGTGAAGTTGTCTCATTAATTGTAAATTAATTCTGATTAGGACTGGATTAAAAACACAAAAATACCAATTTTTTGACAAAGATCGACTAGGGGGTAAACATATGATGAAAATAAATACTTTCCAAATATACCAGGTTTATGCAATCATGTTACATGGGTAATGTTTATAATTTATGTGTTGAAGAATTCGATGATTACGTAATAACGGAAATGATGAATATGTTATGTAATGAGTGATAATCAATGTCGCCTATTTGTGCATAATTTTGCATATTTTTCTCTTTTCTTTTGGAAATCTGTATTTTCAAAAATTCATTTAAACAAATTTAAACTACACCATTTATATATATATTTATAACTTTGTGTGTGAATACATCTTTTTAATAATATAATAAATTTATTTTAATTTTTAATATTAATTCAAAATTTAACTTCTAAACTTAAAATGACGATAAAATGTTGCTATTCATGTTAAAGATCAAAGTTACTCCCGCCGTTTACCCGCGCTTGGTCGTAAATTAAGTTTTTAGCTATGTTTTCCCCAAAGAAGTCGACCCACTCAACTTAGATTCCAAAAGATAAGCAAAGAACATTCCCATGGTTCTCCCGAGTTCCCTATTTAAAATTCAAAGCAAATCAGTCAAGGGGTTCATGAGCTATAGATCTGACATACAAACATCCTAACAAACAAACAGAGATTACATATCTATATATATTTACATAGATACCTCTTAAGTTTAAGGTTGAGAGTCCACATTCTTCCATTCCTTGCATCTATGAGTATATTTGGTCTGAAGAGAACCCAGGAAGGAGGATAGGTCAGTGGAATACAGGAACCTTTATCTGCAAATAACAGATATTTAATTTTATAATTTTACTAAATGTTTTTAAAGTTCTAAGATGAGCATCAGACCTTTTCCCAACCAATAGAGAAATCAATCAATTTAGCAATCAATTAATCAACCAATAAAACAATTACTGAATTAATCAAAAGAAATCAGCTATTCAATAAATCAATCAAAAAATCAATTAATCAATACATCAAAGAATCAATCAAGAAAAAAGAAAACCCAGGAAGGATAGCTCAGTGAAAATCTGCAAATAACCGACCTAAATTTTATCCTACTTTTCTGAATGTTTAAAAACCAATAAATCATTCCATAACTCAATCATACAATCAATCAATCAGTGGAATACAGGAATCTTTATTTGGAAATAAACGATCTTCATTTAAACCAACTTTTCTAAATGTTTTAAGCCAATGAGGTTCTTTGATGAGCCTCAACCCCTTTCCCACCCATAAATCAACCAATCATTCAACCTATTTATTAATTAACCCATCAATCAATAAATCAATCAGCCAATAAATAAATTATACATTAAACAAATTAATCAATCAATTAACCAATAAATATAGTAATTAACCAATAAATCAATCAATCAACCAATTAGCTAATGAATCAGTCAATCAATCAGTCAATTAATTAATAAATCAATCAACTTACCAACAATGAACTCAGTAAATCAACTTAAGTAATCAATTTTTTTAAAGATCCACACAGAAAAATACAAAGAAATCAGTAAATCAATTAATTTAAATAATTAGATTTTTTTTCAGATGCACACAGAAAAATACATTACTTCACCAATCAACCAATCGATCAATCAATCAATCAATCAATCAATCAATCAATCAATCAATCAATCAATCAATCAATCAATCAATCAATCAACCAACTCAATCAATCAATCAATCAATCAATCAATCAATCAATCAATCAATCAATCAACCAACCAACCAACCAACCAACCAACCAACCAACCAACCAACAAACCAACCAACCAACCAATCAATCTTCATGAATATCAACAACCTGTAAGACTGGTTTGGGGAAGTATTTGAATGTGTTCCTGAGGGCCTCCAACATCTATTAATGTCAAAAGAAAAAAATTTTAAATTGCATAAATAAATTATTATTAACAAATTAACAAAATTTGAGAGATTTCTGCTACCTGTTTGTTTAGTGCGGGGACTTGAAATATCAAACATCTGAGTACTCGAATTCTAGAAAGAAAAAAATATAAATAACAACTACCTGTAGTGTCCACTGTTTACCTGCGCTTGGTCTGTAATTATTATTTTAGCTTAAGTGGCAGGCCTTGCCCGTTTAATAAAAATTTAGCCTAAATATTTCACCCGCACCCATTGGTTCCCTAAAAAAATGTCAGCCAATTTGGTCTAGCCGTTTCACCAGCTTAAGCAAACATATATATATATATGTGAGCGAAGATCTTTATTATAGTAATAAAATGAACCAGATAATCGTTATGTCATGAACATCAAGGCCGAGGTCCCGTCAAAAAAAGTGAATAAGGGGGGAAGGATTCTGGCCCAGCCTGCTGAAGAATGAAGATACCTGAAGTGAGTGAACAAGAATAAGATTATCCAGGGTTTGAACTCCTAGAGCTCCAGATACAGATACATTTAACAGATGAGACAGATGAACCTTAAACAATAACAGATACATTCAACAGATGAGCCAATTGAACCTTAAACAATACCAGATGACCCTTAAACATTAACAGATAAACTTAACAAAAACAGATAAACCTTTATTAGTAATAGATAAACCTTCAACAGAAACAGATAACCTTTTCACAATAACAGATAAACTTTAAAAAAAGATAAATCTTTAAAAATAACTGATAAACCTTTCAAAATAAAAGAAAAACCTATAACAATAACAGATAAATTTTTAAAAATAACAGATATATCTTTCAACAACAATAGATACACCTTTTGCAATAACAGAAAATCTTTAAAAATATCAGATAAACCTTTAACAATAACAAATAAATCTTAAACTTTAACAGATAAACCTTTAACAATTATAGATAAAATAATAAATAAATCTTTAACTATAACAGATAAACCTTTAACAATAATAAATAAATCTTTAACTATAACAGATAAACCTTTAACAATAATAAATAAATCTTTAACTATAACAGATAAACCTTTAACAATTATAGATAAATCTTTAACTATAACAGATAAACCTTTAACAATAATAAATAAATCTTTAACTATAACAGATAAACATTATAACAGATAAATCTTTAACAATAACAGATAATAAGCACACCGTGAGTCAGCGCTTAGGGTCCGGATCAGGATCCGTTGGATCCGCAAGATTTTGGCTTCCTGGATCCGGATCCAAGGGGTAAAATATCAATCAAAAACTGAAAAAAAAACCTTTTTAATCCTAAAACCCTAATCTGAACTTTTGAAAACAGAGATTCTAAAAATGTCCTCATATCTGAATGGTTCATCAAGTTTTAGGATAAAAATATGCGAAAAAAATTAAACAAAAATTTGAAAACTATTTTTTGTTTAAAAAATTCAGTAAATCAGTAAAAAAATGACCTGGATCCGGATCCGGCTCCATTTTTTCCAGTGTGGATCCAGAATCCTGATCCACATTAAAATTAAATGAATCTTAAGCACTGCCTTGAGTAAAGATGATGTTAGCAATTAACTTAATTTACAACGCTTAACAATGAAACAATGAAAAGATATCCGTTTTTTTAAATTAAGGATAACAATTATACAAATATACTTCCTTGTTTCGGTTGCATAAATACACACAAGGAAAGTCTCTCACCTGATCATTGTATATTGAGTAAAGATGAATTCCTGTCACTTTACTGCTCTCTCCAACTATGTTGACTCGTATAAAGCATTGACTGAACAAATAAACAATTGAATTGGAAAATGGATATCTAGCTAAATGCATTGACTGGTGACATATCTTCCAGGGGTGTATATCAGAGTCCTAAATCACCCTTAAAAAAAACTTTGCACACTGGCCCAATAATATTTGTGTTCCTAAAAACAATTTCAGATGTCTAAGAAGCCATTAACAGCTACATGTAAAAATCGAAATATTGCTAAAGAAATATCCTTTGTTACATTACAAAAGTGTCCTCGTCAAAAAACCAGTTTTCAAATTATGCCTCTTAGCTATGAACTGCTACCTGAGCAATGAACTATCTACCTAATTGACCTTAGCTATGCACTATCTACCTAATTGACCCCTTAGATATGAACTTTTTACCTGATGGACCCCTATCAATGAACTATCTATCTGATTCACCCCTCTAGGTATTAACTACTTCCTGATTGATCCCCCAGTTATGAACTACTTCATGATTGACCCACTAGATTGGAACTATTTCCTGATTGACCCCCTAGATTGGAACTACTTCCTGATTGACCCCCTAGATTGGAACTATTTCCTGATTGAACCCCTAGATTGGAACTAATTTCTGACTTACCTCCTAGCTATGAACTATAAACAAAATTGAACCACTAGCTGTTGACTTTCTACGTTATTGACCCCCTAGTTATGAAATGATAGCAAATTGACTTCCCAATTGACTACCTGATTGACCCCCTAAATATGACTTGATTCCTAATTCCATATGAAATGACACCTGATTTACCTCCTAGTTACAAACTATCTACTTGATTGACCCCCAAGCTCAGAGCAATCTACCTGATTGACCCTTTGCTATGAACTGCTATCTTAATGACCCCCTAACTCTGAAGTGTCTACCTGATTTACCTCCAAGCTATAAATTACTACATGGTTTACCTCCTAGACTTTGATCTGATTGACCAATTAACTATGAACTACCTGATTGAAACTGATAAACTGACTAATATACCTGAGTACTACCATAATAATGTCAGTGACACATATTCTCTGGAAATGAATATGTACAATAATAGCTGATATATATAAAACCCCCAAGCCTAGGAGTATTTATATCTGAAACATGAAAGATGTAAAGTACACAACAATATATAAATGTAACCAAAACAATAACATATAAATAGCCTGTTCCTGGAGACTCTTCCAGTATCATGATATAGTCCTGTAATAGAAAACATCATCAGACTAACAGAAACCCTAGCTATGAACTATTTACCTCATTGACCTCCTTGCTATCAACTATCTACCTGATTGACTGCTACCTGTTTGACCTCTTAGCTATGAGCTACCTTGATTTATCTCCTAGCTATGAACGGTTTTGTTGATACATCTCATTAAAAGGACCAACCCCTGTATGTGCTATTGGTGGTTTGTGAGCATATAAAACTGATACAAGAAAATATGCCGCAATTAGAACTGAAAATGCTAAAGCCTAAAAGTACCTAAAACCAGTTCTTATTGCCTGATCTGATTAAACTAATAAATGTAGTTTCATTAAATTTTAAAATCGCCTCGTAGCGGCAACACTCAATTTTTACATGTAGCTGATTCCAATAAGATAAAGGCCCGATTTTTTTTTTTTGGGGGGGGGGCTCTACATATCCCCTGTAACCATTTGAGACTGTGTGTATTTGTTCAAATTCAGAAAAAAAGTTAAATTTACACGAATTTGGGTCACCCTAGTGTATATTTTTCAGAATTACAAAAATTAAATGATTTTGGGATTATTTGTGGAAAAAAAAAATTGAACATTGCACCCCAAGGCAAGTTTTTTTCATTCTTTTTGATACTTCCTACCCAAAAAATCATAATTATTTTCCCTGAAAAATCGGCTTATAAAACTTTTAAGAAAATAAATGATTTTCTAAAAGTCTTGGGCCGGAAGATTTTTTGGAAAATTTACACCCCTGCAATTTTCATTGTCAGACAAACTATTCGAAAATGATCATTCTATGCATTGTTTTATTTCGTGGACCCTCTACACTAAAAAACGGGTTGGAACTGTGTCAAATTGGAAACCATTACAAGGAAGTCATGCATAATTTCTTTGAAATCTTCTTGATAATCCACTATGAGCGAATTTTCATTTTACATTGTGGACTGAGTAAGTCCTAAATTGCGATGTGTTTAATGAACTCTAAATTTAAAATCTTTAACCCTAAATAAAATATAACCAGGGGGTGAATTTTTTTTTGAAAAACATGTTAATTGTTTATTATTGAGTTGCTGAATTGTCGAAATTAAATTATTTCAAGGTTATAAAGTTTAAATTATAGAATTTATGCAATGTTTAAACTTTTTATCACAAAATTGTGAGACTGAAATTACTGTAAATGTAAGATTACCTGTAAACTGAAATAAATGAAACATCCTTCTCAGTAACTGAAGAACTTAAATCTATCCCTGTAACGTGTTAACAATCAATCATTTATTAAGTCGACCTTGGCATTATTAGTAAGTTTTATAGGCGTGTCGACGTTATTTACTCAGAGCTGAAAACTTTAGAATGAGATATCCTGAATCCCGATTACTTATTCTGAGTATCCAATGGACACAATTTTGATTTTCTTCTTATACCACTCTTGGATATAGTAGAGAAAAATCAAAAACCGGTTTTCTAAATTAGAGAGTCACTCCCGTTTCTTTAAGTTAATCTTAAATGGCGTGCAAAATTTCAAATTTACCGGCTTCTTATATGCGACTCTGATTGGTTGAATTTTATGCACTTTTCTGAATACAAGTACAAGATTAGATTAGTCTCGATATAAAGAAAAAGAGAGGATCAAGCATTAATTTCGATATCCACCATTCTAAAGTTTTCAGCTGAGGTTCTCTTGTGTTTCAATCCATTATTTTTCTAAAAACATGTACTTGCGGATTTACCATCCAGAGACAAAGAAAGCAATTATAGGAATTTAACACTTTTCCAATTGACAAAAGGAGAATATTTCCCCCTAACTGTTGTTCGGATAGAGGTTGAAAGGGTACCGCTGTTAATTGGACATAACTATTATAATTAGCAGACAACTCATTATTTAAAGAAATAGTGGTTGACTCTTTAAATGGGGATTAAGTTAAAATATTTAAAATTCCTTTTAATTATAAATTAGATTGATTTGATTTCCTTGAAGCTTAATTACATTGCTGTTCTTCACAGACCAAACCTAGACAATCAATCAATCATTCGTTCAATCAATCAATAAATCAATAAATAAATAAATCAATCAATCAATCAATCAATCAATCAATCACTCACTCACTCACTCACTCACTCACTCACTCACTCACTCAATCATTCAATCAATCAATCACCAACCAACCAAACAACGAATCGATGGTTCAACCAACCAACCAACATCCAGACAATGAAAGAATAAAGCATTAAGTCGATCAATCAATCAACCATTTTCATTCAATGAATTAATCCAATTTTCAGACAAACAATGAACATTCAATAAATCAATTAATAAATATTAGCATCAATAAACCAATGAGTCTATTAGCCACTTAAATCTTCCATAATCGATAAATCAAACAAAAAATCAGACATTAACCGAATTCAGTCTGATCCTCACTCGTAAGATAAAACTCGAGCAAATTTACCTGAAGAGTATTTGTTTTGTCCTTAGCTGAGGTGAACAGGTAGTTAGTGAGAGGACAGGATACATACCAGAATATAGGGGTACTGGTACTCCGTAGATACTATAATATGTAGTTAGTGAGAGGACAGGATACATACCAGGATACAGTGGTACTGATACTCCGTAGATACTAGAATATGTAGTTAGTGAGAGGACATGATACATACCAGGATACAGGGGTACTGGTATTCCGTAGATACTAGAATATGTAATTAGTGAGAGGACATGATACATACCAGGATACAGGGGTTCTGGTACTCCGTAGATGCTATAATATGTAGTTAGTGAGAGGACAGGATACATACCAGGATACAGCGGTACTGGTACTCCGTAGATACTAGAATATGTAGTTAGTGAGAGGACATGATACATACCAGGATACAGGGGTACTGGTACTCCGTAGATACTAGAATATGTAGTTAGTGAGAGGACAGGATACATACCAGGATACAGGGGTACTGGTACTCCGTAGATACTAGAATATGTAGTAAGTGAGAGGACAAGATACATACCAGGATACAGGGGTACTGGTACTCCGTAGATACTAGAATATGTAGTTAGTGAGAGGACATGATACATACCAGGATACAGGGGTTCTGGTACTCCGTAGATACTATAATATATAGTTAGTGAGAGGACAGGATACATACCAAGATACAGGGGTACTGGTACTCCGTAGATACTAGAATATGTAGTTAGTGAGAGGACAGGATACATACCAGGATACAGGGGTTCTGGTACTCCGTAGATACTATAATATATAGTTAGTGAGAGGACAGGATACATACCAAGATACAGGGGTACTGGTACTCCGTAGATACTAGAATATGTAGTTAGAGAGGACAGGATACATACCAGGATACAGTGGTACTGGTACTCCGTAGATACTAGAACATGTAGTTAGTGAGAGGAAATAATACAATACTAGGATGAATTCCAAGAAAGTAAAATCTCCCTGATACAGGAATGCTAAAAATTCAATGGATACTAAATTATTTAAGATATTGGAAAACTCAATTTTTTAACTTGCAAAAAACCAAAAACTTCCGATACACGCCAAATTATCATACCTTGGACAGTTTCCTTGATGCTGTGATATTCCAGATCTCAATACCTAGATTAATAAACCAGGTACAGTGATAACCAGAAATCTCTGGAATTGGAAGTAGAGTGAAAGACTTAAGTTATGACTTAAAATAGTCGAATCAATATATATCACAGCAATTGTGCAGTGTAAACAGGCCCATTTATCTTAATATGCGATTTAACGCCTTACTTTAAAGCTTTTTGCTAGGTAACAACATCAAATGAACTTCAGTATTGCTTTAATGTCGGTCTTCCTATTCTACAGTGTTCTGGTTATTACTGTATAAAACCAAAAAAGAAGTAAGAGTGTTCTTAATTGGAGTAATTAAAGCAAAAATAGAAGAAAATACTAAGTGTATTATTATTTTGTGAAACATGTTTTCAGGGAAAAATAAAAGTCTTTATAAAATCATTTTTTTTTGTTTATGGATCCTAAAAGAAACAATTATTTTTAATCAAGATGATAAGAATGTTCACGCGAAGTGAAATTTATTCTAAAAGTTTTATCGCTGAATTCGAAAAAATAAAGATTTTTTGTGACAGGAAGTTAATTTAAGAGTAAAAATCATTAAAAATGTCAAGTTGATGTTAAAATTTGAAAATCATTCCTCTGTTCTTAAATATTCACCCAGGAGTGATGATAGTTTTCTACCTCTGTGCTCAGTTAGCGGTACTGTACACTTACAACTGTTTACTAATATTGATTTACTATAGGTTAGGACAGAATCTACTTATAATAAACAAATATGCAGTACGCTCTCGGTATAGATCATGGCCTGTAGAATTAGTAAAGGATTAGCGTATATCATCACTTTATGCACAATAACCTCGTTGTATAAACCCCATAAAAATAGACCTGTATCTGTCAGTAAAACAACCTCATCATCAGTTGACCAGATGTAGCCGACAATCTCAGAATTCTTGTTCTAAAATATCTGATGTATATTTTCCTGAAAAATCTCCCCCCTCTCTCTCTTTTGTAAATCATTTTTTCCCCAGCAGCTGAGTATGTTTGATCGGACCAAAACAATTTTAAAAAGGTCTTTTCGCTAAATTGTGGAAAATAAATGATTTTTAGGCGGAAATATATACATTTTGGGTAACAAGTATAAAAAAAGATGAAAAACTTGCCTTTTCATGTGATCATTCCCCCNCCACCCAGGAGTTGGGGACTGAGGGGGTAATTCGTAAACCCCCCTTTCTAAAACATATTATGTTCTCAAGAAAGACAAGCAATTTTTAACAATATAATCGGTGAAAGGTTCATTCAAAAACAAAAAGAGCAATTTTTGAACTTCTGGAGACTGTCTCTCTTGTTTTAGAATGATGACCACCCAGAATGAAAAAAAACTTTAAAAAAATTAAAGATAAGACCAGTATTTTACTATAATTTGTCTGAAAATAAATGAAATGAAGTCCTACCTTTACATGGATAGAGTATTCGAGAGGATTGGGTTGGCCTTTTTCTATATTGTAGAAATCTAATCGAGTTTTCTCCCTTTGAACAGAAACAACCTGGAAAACACAGATTTTTTCTCAATAATAATAGTCATAATAGTAATAATGATAATAATAATGATAATAATAATGATAATAATAATGATAATAATAATGATAATAATAATGATAATAATAATGATAATAATAATGATAATAATAATGATAATAATAATGATAATAATAATGATAATAATAATGATAATAATAATGATAATAATAATGATAATAATAATGATAATAATAATGATAATAATAATGATAATAATAATGATAATAATAATGATANATCGTGATCGTGATTGTGATTGTGATTGTGATTGTGATTGTGATTGTGATTGTGATTGTGATTGTGATCGTGATCGTGATCGTGATCGTGATCGTGATCACGAATTTTCTCCCTTTGAACAGAAACAACCTGGAAAACACAGATTTTTTCACAATAATAATAATCATAATACTAATAATGATAATAATAATCATAATAATAATGATAATAATAATAATAATCATAATAATAATGATAATAATAATAATAATGATTATGATAATAATAATAATTATGATTATGATTATTATTATGATTATGATAATAATCGTGATCGTGATCGTGATCGTTATCGTGATCGTGGTCGTGGTCGTGGTCGTGGTATTACCTTCTGATCAGGAGAGAGTTTAATAGCAAGTATCCCTCCTTTATCCTGATTTAAAGACAAATAATAAAAAACTGAAAATAAATATATTGTTTTTAAATAACCTTAGACACACTAGACAGGGTCCTGGGAGTCAATTTAACATGAAAATAAACAATGAGTTCATATTTTGTATTGCTAAATTTCCAACATAAAAAATCAGAGATACTATTTTCCATCCATATTGCGTAAGAAACTTTTACATGGAACCATTAATGAAAATGATCAGTTTCAACATAGAAGAATAGGGATAATATAATGTAATCATTATTGAAAATAATAAGGTTTAACGTAGAAAAATAGGAAATAACTGCAGTAAAAACAGTATAGAATAAGTTAATCAGTAAATCTATAGACTCTACGCAGATATTCTCAGTATGCCCTGAACAGGGGTCTAGAGAATAATTCACCAAATAACCAAACTCAAAATTGGATTTGTATTTATTCTATGATTGTCTAGATTGTCTTTATTGTCTATATTGTCTATATTGTCTATATTGTCTATATTGTCTATATTGTCTAGTTTGTCTATTTTCCTCGAGAATAAATGTTTGCTGGGGTTTCCCTGGGCTCTTAATCACTACTCCAGTAGCACCACCAGATCTTACAGAAAACAACTGAAAACCAATCAATCAATCAATCAATAAACCAATCAATCAACCAACTGATCAATTTACCAACCAACCAGCCAATTAATCAGCCAATCATTCAACCAATCAATAAAAAAACAATCAATAATTAAAACAAACAAACAATGAAGCAATCATGTATAGCACTCAATAAATTATATCTAGAAAGTCAGGAATGAGACTCCCTTAACAAAGATAAGTTTGTATTTCTATTTATATTATATATCTATTTTATTAAAATTTTGTATTTTTTAGAAGCTTTGTGAATCTAATTTACCTGAAGATTTTTCTGGTCAAAGAATACTGACGTTATTGTATCCACAGGATCAAAGGATACCGGATCAGATAGTTCTTAACAAAGGATTAGATAGTTGTCAACAAATGATACAGGATCAGATAGTTCTTAACAAAGAATTCGTTAGTTGTCAACAAATGATACCGGATCAAAGATTCTTAAACAAAGGATTAGTTAGTGGTTAACAAGGGATACTAGATCAGATAGTTCTAAACAAAGGATTAGTTAGTGGTTAACAAAGGATAATAGATCAGATAGTTCTAAACAGAGGATTAGTTAGTGGTTAACAAAGGATACTAGATCAGATAGTTCTAAACAAAGGATTAGTTAGTGGTTAACAAAGGATACTAGATCAGATAGTTCTAAACAAAGATTAGTTAGTGGTTAACAAGGGATACTAGATCAGATAGTTCTGAACAAAGGATTAGTTAGTGGTTAACAAGGGATACTAGATCAGATAGTTCTAAACAAAGGATTAGTTAGTGGTTAACAAAGGAAACTAAATCAAATATTTCTTAACAAAGGATTATTAAGAACTTCATAAAGGATACTGAATATAACAGATTAACAGATTATTGGCGGGTGATTTAAAACGAAAAGGATAAGAGAGTTTTTGACAAAGTTTTAAACAGTTTCTTAACAAAGATAAAATATGACTTCACAAATGTTGAAGGATAAGGCAGTTGTAAACGTAATAAGGAATAGGGCGACAACGGATATACAAAATACATACAGAGAATTCTTAAAAATTATCTGACATTTATTTGTCTTTCTTCACTAGCGAAACATTCAAAAGGTTTTCATATTATTTGAAAGAACTTACCTATGAGTCCAAGGCAATTCATTTTCTTCTTTTTTCCTTGACAACAAAAGATAATAACGTTAAAACTTAAAATGTTTTCAGTGAAACAAATGAAATCACTTTTCTAGTCTGTAAGCAGTTGAAGAATCACAATACGGGTGTGGAATGTCGGTTTCGAGGGTCGTCTTTATTACCCCCAGGCTTGGTTTCTGGAGTAGTATAGAACTAGTTTACCGTCGCTTCCAAAACACTCGTTCAGGTTCAAAATCTAAAATTTTAAAATTCTTCTTTATAATATCTATTTGTTTAGAGGCTTAATCTTGTTTGATATCTTTTGTAAAACTTCATAATCAAAAGGATGAGGTAAGGCAAGCAACTAAAGATAAAATTTTGGTATTGGCCACTTAAAAATTGCAACCCCCTCCTAAAAATGCTATCATTGCATCAAAAATAATCAAGTTTAGTTGTGATTAGAGTAATGAATTTTAGGGGTCTTGTTTTGGTCTGTACTCTTCAAAAAATTCTTTGGATAGAAATAAAAACAATTCTTTTCCTTTTCCGTAAACATTCCCTTTAAAAATAATAACTTAATAAAACTTACTGTCTGGTCTGGGCTGGGTGCAAAAGCCTGGTTTACATACAGGAACAGGTTCTCACTAGTCTGAAAAATACGTAAATATTATTAGACTAACTTGCAGTCATTACGATCAATTTCATTTTGATGCGGTTCCAGATCCGGAGCCTGAGGCAGAATTTAAAGAATTTGAGCCGCGGCTTAAATCCGCCAAAACCCGGTTTAAATTAAGCGCCTGCTCAAATCTTGAAGAATTTGATACAATTTTAAGTGGAACCAACCATATTTAAGCCGCGGCTCAAATTCTTTAAATTCGGCCTCTGGATCCAAAATCAATAAAAAATAATTCGGATTTTCTGGTCAGGGTCACTGTCCCAGTTAAAATAAAAATTCTTACTTCAAGTTTCAGATATTTTCTGACGAAGCTGATTATCTCAGAAATCTTCTTACTCTCTTCAACCTGGACATAATATTTTGTACTGAATAGTTTAGGTGACTTTAATTAGGTGATTTAAATTTTCTCAATTATAAACATTCTCGCCATACTGTGACAAGTATCCAAAGTGAGGAAACCAACTAGATAAATATTTTCAAGTCCAGGAAATACAGCTTTTCTAAGAATTATATTAGAAATATGAAGGATGTGAAAAAGTATTAGAACAATTTAAAATTGTATTTTAAATGAAAGAAGTTTGAAGTAGAAACGTGATCAATAGGAACTAATATTATGGCCTTTTCTGGTAGATTTTTTCTTTCAGTTTTATTTAAAAAGTACATGAAGTTGACTCTTAATAAGTTTATTACGACCAAGAAGTTTAGATCTTTAAGATGCTCAAGGCTGAGTCAATCAGAAGTTATTTTAGCAAAGATTAGTTTAGCTTGGCTCTGGGTTTTGTCGTCTAGTTAATTTAAGAACATTTAAAAACTTTAAGAACTTAACACCCCCCCCCCCACCCGGAAAATTAAGAACATTAAGAACGAATTGCTGTTTTTAAGCAAAACACTTTAAGAACCTGCAACTATGTTATATAGGGTGAGTCAAAAAAAAGTGTGATTAGCGGCGTCTGGTGCGAAATTGTATCTTTGCTGTGCAACTCTCATGTATGGTATTTTTTCTTTATTTTTTGAATTTTTTTGGTACAACAATGGCCCAAAAAAATCCACGGACCTTATTGTCTTTCAAAATTAAAAGTTGAGTAAGCAAAATGTGAAAATGTATTATCTCAATCAAATGCTAAAATTGTATAAAGATTAAATCACAGAATCACAATTAAGAGCCACAATTAAACGTTGAAAAAAAAGCCTAGTATTATAAATTTTAAACAAATTATCTCTTTTACCATATAATTCCGCTTTTTCATAATCGGTGCATCTCCTGTAGCTTGCAGACGGATTTCAACCTTGGAAACCTGAATCAAAGAGTTTATCTTAAAGGGACTGTCAACGTAAATCAAATTACATCAGACAAGAATTATGTCAGATTCATAACGGTCCCCTTTAAACATTAGTCTTGGCAACATCTAAGAGATATTCTCAGTTTCTAACTGTTTGAATTAAGGGTTGTCCGTTAATAATAAAAATAATATCATTATTAATATTAATAATATTAATAATATTAATAATATTAATAATATTAATAATTATAATAATAATAATAATAATAATAATAATAATAATAATAATAATAATAACAATAACAATAAGTAACAATAAGCAACAAAGCCGAGGAAAAAAACAAACAAAATATCTTATTTAGACAGTGCATAGAAACCGTATCCGTTGGATCCGCAAAAATATGCGGATCCACGAATCTGAATCCAAGGGGCAAAATATCAAACAAAAACTGCAAAAAATGTTAACTTTCAAAACCTAAATCTGAAAAAAGATAATTATAAAAATTTCCTAATTTCTGAATGGTTCCACTAGTTTTAGCATAAAAAAACGAAAAAAATAAGACAAAAATTTGAAAATTTTGCAAAAAAAAATTCAGAAAATTTTAAAGAAATAACCAGGATCCGGATCCGGATATAGAGTTGGATCCGGATCCATTTTTTTCCAGTGCGGATCCAGGATCCACATCAAAAATAAATCCTTAGTACTGCTTTTAAATATGCAATAAGTAAGGTGATATATCACCCAGTGTCAGGAGTAATGTCTAAAGGGTACCATTATGAATTAGATCTTTAAATTACCTTTAAACTAAATTAATCAACAAATATTTTACAGAATCTCTCGCATTTTAATTCATTTTCACAAAAAATGAAATTTGAAAAAAAGATTTGAATTACCTTCTTCTCTGCTGATTTCCCAGATTCACCCTTCTTATCTCCTTCTTCTGCTGGCTTTTCAGATGACTCTACGTCTCCCTTGACAGGTTCAGTTTGGACCTCTTCTCCGCCCTTTTCAGCAGTTTCTGATGGTTCGTGTGCAGTGCCAGTTGTCTTTACTGGGTCACTTTTAACAGATTCCTCGGTATCTTTTGCTCCAATATCTCCAGCACTTCCCTGAGCTTCACTTTGGACAGAAGTCGATTCTATCTTATTTTCTAAAGTTGGTACTTCCTGGATATCATTCACATTATTCCTCAGATTCATTTACTTATGGACAAACAGCGCGTTCCCAATCATATAGTACAGGGTGTCCCACAAAATATGACAGTTGATAAATAGTTATGAATGTCGTCTTTCCTATACTGTATTAGATATTAAAGGCTGTTTGCAATTTATTTTGTTAGAAAAATCTTTAGTTTAAATATACTTTACTTTGAAATCAATTATCCCAAAAAATATTTTTATTATTTTCTTAGGTATAAAACAACTCAACAAATTATGTAAGAAGACATTCTAAACTAATTCACCAACTTTCAAGTTTCGTGGGACACCCTGTATTTTCTTCAAGCTTCAGGGGCATATATATCAATTCTTTGAAAAAAAAATTTTCCTACCTCCCTCTTGATAATCATTTCCCAGGATGTTAGATGGATTGAGGAACATATATGATCATAAAGGGAAACTAAATAGTTTTATAACTTAATAAAGTATCAAAGAAGAAAAAAACATGCCTTTTAATACCCAATTTTTGCCCCCTGAAGCTTGGTAAATTATTTAATGAAAACGCCAATTTTAAAGACTTCCAAAATCTAACTTCAGTAAGTTTTTTTGTCATCCACACAAATCGAGAAGAAAATTTTGGATCTGGTTGACTCGGTTGACCCTTGTTCCAACTGAACTTTATCTTGGATTTTTTTAAGCATTTCCAGAATTGAAATGCGTATTTCCAGAATTGAAATGAATTGAGGTAATAACTGCCTGTTGTAAGCTGTTTAAATCTAGATCCGTAGACTCTGGATTTTCTGAGGACATTCTACAAACATTGAAACAGAAATTGCTTCCAAAACTTTTCTGAAAATAGATCCAACAATAGGACAAATATTCTGCAAATCTAAGGCTTTTTATCCAAGACTTAAACGAAGGATAAGTATACTGCATTTTTAAAATGAAAAAAAAATGTAAAATCTAATTCAGGTCGCAGAAGTTTTAAAACTGAAAAAATACAGTTTACTTTTCTATCATACTTTATTTTGATGACTTATTAATTAGCGACTCCCAGAATTCATAACAGTGTCCTTAAAACTGTATTTGATTTTGGATCCAAATAAATTTCTTTTTCCCAATTTGAAATGTTACATATCCAAGCCAATTTTTTACTTGCCTTAACTTCTAAGCAATCATTGAATTCATGTCTAAACTTGAATTAAGTTCCTTTATAAGATAGCTTTTTTAATTAAGGCGTCAAAAAAATAAGTTGTTGAAAATAAAAAATACTATAACAAAATCATCTTAATAATAATAATAATAATACTGGCACTTTGATAAAGGTATAAAGCTCAAGAAGGGTTAGATGAGACAACCAGAAATCAAATACTTTTAAAAATGGAGTTTGAACGAAATATATAAATTCTTTTTTTTTAATTTGTCCATATTCTTTAAATATTTACTTTTATGACATTCAAAATTCCAATTATAATAAGTTTAATGTAAATTTTAAATTGTTAAACATTTTTAAAATGACTATTTTTTTGGTAATTTGGACTTTGTCATATCTAGATACATTTAACAACAAATATCACATTTTAGTATTGGTCGGTGATAAAATAAAGGTAAGGCTTTGTTTTTTAAGAAACTATTGTGTACTTTGTCATTCTTCCTCACTTCATCAAGAATTTCTTAATTAACGTATAAAATAATCATCGTGCTATAAAGCTAAATTAGCTGTACATTATAGAACATATGCTATAAAGTTTTGATTGGTTCCCGGATTTTCTCAACAAAATTTAGGAAATTTCCAAAATACTTTTTTCAATTAAATGAAAATAAAATTGATATTAACTTAATATTTTTACTTCTGCTTTGTTTTAAAGCTTATTTGATCTATAGAAATAGCCATGGAAATAAGACAAGTACACAAACGTTTCATAAAATTACCTATAACACAATTATTTTGGCACGACGTGCTATTAAGTTACAGGTTCTCGCCTTTTAAAATTATGTGTCCCTTGCTAAAGCTTGTGAAAAAATTAAATCTAAAAAGGCTTGAACCTTCTCGATAAAAAGAAAATTTCTGTCCAAAAACTTTATAACACTGCGAACCAAAATAACAGAGTTATAAATAGTGATGTTTTTCATCAATTTATATCATTATAAAATTTTTCATTATCTTGTTTCCTAGTAATTATGTATTTTAATTCAGAATTTGCATAATAACTAAGCCAATAAAAAATCAATCAACACAAAAGAATGAGATTCATATTTGAAAAGTTCCTAACAAGCGAAATTTTACAGTTTTAATAATTCCGCGAATACATTTAATTGCGAATTGCGTATAGAAGTGCAAGTTTCGCTAAAACTTCTCGCAAATGGAGGAACATTTTTTCAATCAATATTTTGATTGGACGATTTTGACATTTATATAATATGAATTTATGTTACTATATGTCTGGACTCTGCATGCCTATTTGAACAACATAATTTGCCAGAAAAATAAAGCAGAATTCTTAACAGAATGTTGGATTTTGTTAAGCATTTTCTTATAAAGGGAAACCCAAACAAAATCGCACTTTTCAGCGTAAACAAAATGTTTTGAACACAATAAGCATTTAGATTATTGGTTTTTCCATTCAGCTGGAAATCCTCCTAATCAGATAATTTAGCTTTATAGTTTCCGAGACAGCAATTTTGTAAACCTGTCTTCATAAAAATGAAAATGAGACATTTTTACGGTGTATTATTGTTTAACAAGAGCAAACATTCTATCTTTAAAATCCTCCTTGAGGCTTTATTTTGAAAATAATACTGCACTATCAGTTCAACTATTATGTTTAGCCGGTCACTACCTTTAATAGCATATGTGGTTTAAGTTTTACAGAAATATTTTAATTGTGATTCACAGGCAAATTAGAATAGAGGGAGAGATAGTTACACCTCACTTAACTAATTATTCTTCTAATATATACACCTATGATCAGGGTTAATTAGTTGTATTAGTTTGAGCTACTTCTTACTATTATTATTCATAATTCTAAACACAGAAATGATTAAAAAAAATACCAATAACATAAACCTCTTGTAGCAATACATTTAATAAGTTTAATAAAACCGACGTATCTGGATTGTTGGCACTAATACGACTAAGCAATGACATCTGAGACCGCGATTTAAAAGCTTTGGCTCGAGTCTTAATTCCTTAGACCCTGGTATTATACTCCATCTTAGACCAAACTTATGAATAAGCTGAAATCAACTTGTCTCACATGATCCGATAGCTGCCAGCTCTTAGACCCTGGTATTAGACTCCATCATGAATAAGCTGAAATCAACTTGTCTCACATGATCCGATAGCTGCCAGCTCTTAGACCCTGGTATTAGACTCCATCTTAGACCCAACTTATGAATAAGCTGAAATCAACTTGTCTCACATGATCCGATAGCTGCCAGCTCTTAGAATTGACTTAAAGAGTGAGCCACACTAAAAACAAAATCGACGTTTGTTGAGTTTAATGGAGAATTAGTCTCAATGTTGAGTCTTATCCTAAAAAAATGTATTGAATCCGCCAATTCCAGCCATGAAAATCCGTCAAATCCAATATTAAACCCGATAATAAACCTAACTTTGTGGAACATTAGCTACAACTTAAACCCCAAAGCTCAAATTTTAAATTGGTCTCAAAGACAGCTTAAACCTGATTTTTAATTTTAAGATTTTTTTTTATCGGGCTAGGAACAGACGTCACAAAAATTACATATTTAATTAATATCATTGTATCTGCTGTCATGTTAATTTTTCAATTGATTTCAATCAAACAAATAACCTTTAAGTGATATGCTATTTTGATATGCAGAGATTCTGACTTTCAAATATTCACGAATTCTTAAATCTCATAAAGAAAAGATTGGTTTGAAACACGGCTACTATAATCCCCATCCAAGGGGGAAGGAGATCTCTGCAAAAACTCTACGGGAGGTATAACCCTTTCTGTCTTGTCTTCCACAGAAGATACAGACGTTAGGGTAACATTCTCCATAGCATGTGTAGACCTTTCAGATGCATCTTCCATATCAAGAACAGACCTCCCTGTCACGTCCTCCAAAGCAAGAACAGACCTTCCAGTAACATTCTCCATAGCATGTGCAGACCTTTTAGTTGCATCTTCAATAGAAAGAACAGACCTCCCTGGCACGTCCTCCAAAGCATGAAAAGACCTTCCAGTAACATTCTCCAAAGCAGGCACAGACCTTCCAGTTGCATCTTCCATCGCAGGACCAGACATCCTTGTCATATCTCCTAATACTGGAACAGAAATCGTGTTTGCGTCTTCTAATGATGAAATGGATCTAATGTTTAAAACTACCAGGCCAGGATTACAAGCTGCTTCACTATTTATATCTTCACTTTGGGAAGTATGACCACTGGGCTTTGTAGATGAAAGAGAAGAGACCTTAAATTAATAAAATTGTGTTAAAAATTTGATGTGAACTTTTACCATAAAATATTTACACCTTTCCCAAAAATGTGTGTGCAGTACAAAATTTGTTATACACTTCCCACATAACACTTTTTAAAGCATTTGTAACTCATTTTTAGGACTTTTTTTGAATAAATGCTAGTTATCAAAGTTCAGAATTCCCTAAAAGACTGATAGACAGATTTCTGTAGCCCATCTAAGAAATGTCTGAAGTCCAATTGTTACGTAGGATGAGAAAGTCTGAACCCTGTCTGATCTACCTTAAGTCCTGATTGGAATGTAGGATGAGGATCTCTAAACCCTATCTGATCTACCTGAAGTCCTGATTGGAATGCAGGATGAGGATCTCTGAACCCTGTCTGATCTACCTGAAGTCCTGATTGGAATGTAGGATGAGGATCTCTAAACCCTGACTGATCTACCTGAAGTCCTGATTGGAATGTAGGATGAGGATCTCTGAACCCTGTCTGATCTACCTGAAGTCCTGATTGGAATGCAGGATGAGGATCTCTAAACCCTGTCTGATCTACCTGAAGTCCTGATTGGAATGCAGGATGAGAATCTCTGAACCCTGTCTGATCTACCTGAAGTCCTGATTGGAATGCAGGATGAGAATCTCTGAACCCTGTCTGATCTACCTGAAGTCCTGATTGGAATACAGGATGAGGATCTCTAAACCCTATCTGATCTACCTGAAGTCCTGATTGGAATGTAGGATGAGGATCTCTGAACCCTGTCTGATGTACCTGAAGTCCTGATTGGAATACAGGATGAGGATCTCTGAACCCTATCTGATCTACCTGAAGTCCTGATTGGAATGCAGGATGAGGATCTCTAAACCCTGACTGATCTACCTTAAGTCCTGATTGGAATGTAGGATGAGGATCTATGAACCCTGTCTGATCTACCTGAAGTCCTGATTGGAATGAGAAGTCCTGATTTGAATGTAGGATGAGGATCTCTAAACCCTGTCTGATCTACCTGAAGTCCTGATTGGAATGTAGGATGAGGATCTCTAAACCCTGACTGATCTACCTGAAGTCCTGATTGGAATGTAGGATGAGGATCTCTGAACCCTGTCTGATCTACCTGAAGTCCTGATTGGAATGCAGGATGATGATCTCTAAACCCTGTCTGATCTACCTTAAGTCCTGATTGGAATGCAGGATGAGGATCTCTAAACCCTGACTGATCTACCTTAAGTCCTGATTGGAATGCAGGATGATGATCTCTAAACCCTATCTGATCTACCTGAAGTCCTGATTGGAATGTAGGATGAGGATTTCTAAACCCTGTCTGATCTACCTGAAGTCCTGATTGGAATGTAGGATGATGATCTCTAAACCCTGTCTGATCTACCTCCTGTAGAATAAACTCAGGGCTGGATACTACTGGTCTAATAGTGGATTGGAAAGGGGAAGATTTTTCAGTCTCTGTTTCTCCATCTTAAAAGTTTTAAAATTAAAGAATTTTTCAATATTTCTAATGATCAAAGGGTATTTCAGTTATAATAGTGCTGACATAAAATGAATAAAAAACCTTTCTAAATCTAATAACTCCTGAACATCCAAAAATAAAGAATAAAACGATCAATATACACAACATTATGAAATCACTCTCTTATTTATGTGAAAAGGGGGAAAAAACTACTGTATAGTACCTGGAATGAGTGGCATAAGTTCTAACCCATCAAGATCTTGAAGAGATATTTTCAATGGTCGATGAGTTGAAATATCTACAACAGGTTGAACCTCCTCCATGTTGTGGTGACCTACTCCATCTTCCCCCAACCCATCCCCAGCTGGACGGAGGAAGTTGGGATCACTGCGAGGTGTTTCAAGATCTTCGTTTAAAATATAATTCTCCCTTGTTCTCTCACTGAAATCATCTTGAATACCATTGCAGTGTTCTAAACTGTTGAGATACGCTGTGCTTTGAAACCCTGACCCATCTGGACTTTGAAGATGAACATTTGAACTCATGAAATCCATATCAAGCAGACCTTAAACATAAACAAAATAATACTATGGACATGTTTTAATTTATTCACTATAGAGGACACTAAATGTGGTAAATCTCTTGTCCTCATTTTTCAGGAGGCTGGAGTGTGTGGCAATAACGATCTAAGGTTTAATTGTCTATGATCTTTTCTAGCTTACATTTCTAGCTTACATTTCTAGCTTACATTTCTAGCTTACATTTCTAGCTTACATTTCTAGCTTACATTTCTTTTCTAGCTTACATTTCTAGCTTACATTTCTAGCTTACATTTCTAGCTTACATTTCTAGCTTACATTTCTAGCTTACATTTCTTGCTTTTTTCTAGATTATACAATTCAAAAATGACTACAAATTTGAAAAACAATTAAACATATCCGACATGGTAGTTTTTCACCTTCGATGTTCTCCAGATTTACAAGATTAAAGAACTGTGGAAGCTTGAATGGTATTTTACAGGAAGGATGTGTGGGAGCTGGAGCAGATCCAATCTTGGTACTTGCTTCATAGACACTTGTTACAGTCTCCAGAGCTTCAGTTCCATGTACAGACAGGATGTGTCTTAAAAAAATCAATTAAAAATCTATAGATATAGATAGAGTATCAGTTTTATTCCAACTGATGATTGGGTTAGACCCATGAAACATTTTGTCTAGGAAGAAATATATATTTAAACATCTAAAATGTATATTTAAACTGAACAAGTTGAAAAATCTATCGATATTATATATATATAAAGTGGTACTCTGTAAGTCCGATAAATTCAGAAACCTCTCGACCGATTTGCTACAAATTTTAATTGGATAACTTGGTAGGACTTCTGGAATGTTCTAAAATCGGTTTGAAAATTTACTGTCCAGTGGGTTGATTATAATAGAATTTCTGGCAAAGCTGGATTTTAAAGCTAGTACAGGATAAAATTGACAAATATCGCTTGTGGTTTAATGGTTTGACAGAGTTTTATCTAGCTATGTGGTGTGGCATCTTTGTATCCAAAAAAAGCCTAGACAACTGATTTTAGAAATCAAAATAATAAAAGTTAAAATCCGATAAATTTGTCAATGATGTTGTTTAGGGGTGGGTTCTCTTACCTGTCAAGATGACCAGCACGAGGTGTGGAATATTCGCAAAGTTTGCACTGAAAGAGAATTCGACGAGATTCCCTGCAAGAAGATCAGTTTTATCATTCTTTAAAAATTTTCTTAAATTGTACCATATTACTGAACTGAATTGAAGTTGATGAAGCCACATTAATTTTGTGCGTGGGCTAATCTAAGTCATGACCCAGCAGAGTAAAGGAAATACAGGGTGGTCAGAAAAGAAGAATTTAAAACAAATAACAAATTAGTATATTTTTAAAAAGTTCCTGGCCCGATCAGAATTGTTTAATTTTTTTATTCGGAAAGTTTTTAAAGGCTTTTTTATGAAGCTGACGCTGGTGAATAAATTAAAAATTACACAGAAATAAGTATGAACCTACCTTTCTCCGTGATCCCTGAGCTTGCAGTGCTTCATATGGCTGTTCAGGTTGGGACGTGATGAAACCTGCGTGAAACAAGCTGGGCAGGTGTACTTTATACCTGAAACAAACAATCAATCAATCAATCAGTTTTCAATAAGCCAGGCAGGTGTAAATTGTACCTGATAAATTCAAGTTTTAATTCGGTAATTAATGACTCAAAAAACCATAATACATTAAGGAGGTCGATTTTTTTGAATTTTTTCAAAACATATTGATATGGGTATAAAAAGATGCGCATAGAACCACTGAATACCATCCTTTTATAAGTCTTCTATTTTTCAAAAATGTTTGATTTAAGTGTTAAATATTTCTTTTTCGTTATAATTTGGTTCATTTTAGAGATTTTTACGATTTCAACCTTAGACTGTACTCGGTGTTGATTTTTTCCAGATTTACTTGGACAAATTTTTTTCCTACACTTTTGTGTTCAGATTTACAAAAAAAATCTGAAAATCTGAATGACTTTAAAAATTATGAATAAAATATATTTAAAAAAAAAATTTATTACAAAAAACTTTAGTACTGGTGCAAGATGGATTTGAGCATTTTATCAAAAATTGTCGTCACATACTTTTGCCCTTATTACGAGGAATTAATATTACCTAGATGAATACTCTCGATGTGTAATGTCAGATTTGTTTTTGTTTTTGATTTGTATTCACATTGATCACAGGGAAACCTTTTCCCATCTTGGTCTGTACTGATTGTCTGGCACAGACCAGTTTGCAGGGATTTTAAATGATGATTTCTTAATTCACGATTATCGTAAAATCTTTTCCGACAATTGACGCATTCAAAGTTTTTTATCTTTCTGTGCACAATTTTAACATGCTGTTCCAGGTTTGAATATAGTTTTTTACAAATCTCGCATTCACGTTTAATGTTGGCTTTATGCGTTTTTCTGTGCAAAGAAAGATCAGATTTGGTCGCAAAATGTTGGCTGCAAAGTTTACATGAATAACCGGATGTGATGACAGCTGCACTAGGGACTAGGGCTAAATGAGACTTCAGGCCTAAATCCTCGGAGTTCAAGTTTTCGGAAATATTTTCACGGATTTTCTCATTCAAAAGTTTTCCCTGAGTTGTGGCATGTGCGACTCTCATGTGCTGTGGTAGGTTAGAGAAAAGCCTGTGGCAAATTCCACATGGAAATTTTTCCTTCAAATGAACGCATTTTAAATGCGTCGTATAGTTACTCTTCTTTTGCGTAGTATAGTTGCATTTCTGACAGGTATATCTAGGGGTACGGTTAGAGGTTGAATCGGCCACCACTGTCGGAAAATCATGAATGAGTGATGAGGAATCAGAGGATTGTGTCGGGGAATCAGGATAAAGAGCCGAGGGGTCAGCATGAAGAGTTGATGAATCCGGATATTCCGGATTTTCCAGAAATTGAACTGAACTTTCAGAAATTAAACTAAACTCAGTTGAGAAGTCCGTACCTAAAATAAATAGTTTTAAGTTAAAAATGTTTACAGACAAAAATTAAATTCAGAAGAATGAAAGGTGTGAAAATTTCAAAAATTTCAAAAATAAAAATTAAATAATGCTTTTGCTTTTGAGTTAAATGCCCCCCCCCCCCCCAAAAAAAAAACCTTTTCGAACAATATCATTTTTCTGATGCTATTTAATTTGAACTACCTACTTTTTGAACTATTGGTCGTTTGGACTATTGCACAATGCATGTGGTACCACGTGTAGTAGTTCAAACGACAACATTATGTGAGCATTTGAAATATTTTTTGCTCATTTGAACTATTATATAGTTCAAATGAGCCAAGAAATAGTTCAAATGAGCAAAAAAAAAATAGTTAAAATGTGCCCAAAAAAGTTTAAATGACCCAAAAAAAATAGTTGAAACAACATTCGAGCATCTCATATTTAACACATGAATACGCCTATGTCCCCTTCCACTTATTAAAAAATTACCTATTTGGTGAGTGTAGGGCGGGGGTTTGAGCCGAGTGATCTCTAAGCTGTTTAATTCTGTTTTAAATATTAACTTGGAGTCTGTATTCTGTGTCAACCTAGAAACCAATAAACGGTTAATATAAAACTTCGAATTTAATCCTTCAATATGATTTATTTTTTAGATGCATTATTAATCTCTTTACAATTATATATATAAGTTGTAATCTCTGTTTGGGTGTCTGTCTGTTTGTTTGTTTGCTTGTACGATCCTAACTCAGGAACCCTTGGACCGATTTGCCTTAAATTTGGATTGTAGAAGCCTAGGGGACGTTCTATACTAGATTTAGAGATTCAAAGCTGAGTGCGTCAACTTTTATCGGAAAAAATAGCCTAAACTGTAATTGACGACCAAGTCAGGTAAGCGGCAGGAGTAATTATGAGTAACCTGGGCAACGCTGGGTTCTCAAGCTAGTATTACTATTAAAGTAGATAAGAAGAAGAACAAAGGGCGAGTAAAATTTTAACAAATTGGATTATTTACAACAAAGATACACCACGTAGTATAAAAAAACGTAAGGCTAATTATTTGGTAGAAACTGCAGATTTTACTTTAAAGACAGAAAAATACCAAGTCTGTTTTTGGACCCCCCTCCCTCCTATCAATTTTGAACATGATCACTTTTTTTCAGAAATAATATTATTCTTTCTTTTTTAATATTTTAGTGTTCGGTTAGGTTAAGACAGTTTCTGGGCCGAGTGTTGCGGCAAGGACAGGCTATGGGGCCGAGCGCTGCGGCTAGGACAGCATAGGGGCCGAGCGCCGCGGCTAGGACAAATTAGGAGGCCGGGCGCTGCGGCCACATATCCATTTATAACCATGTGTTACACATGAGATCCATATACAAAATTGATAGAAGTGGGTGGGGCGGGTCCAAAAATCGTTTTCTGAGAAATTACCAAAATGCCAAATGATTATTATTATTCAAATCTTTTTATTGATCAAAAAATACATAGTTAACAAAGTAAACGTTATATATATATCAAGAATACGTACATTTTGATTTTATTATTTTACATAGGGTATCATTTATTTATGTATAGATCATAAGTATTTGATAAATGACACAGTTTTCATGTATTAATTTTAAAGTAAAGTAAATTCAGTAAAGACATTAAAGTAAAGTAAACTGGCAACATATAATGAGAGCTCGTAGGGATTGAGAAAAACATTTTCACTTTTTCAAATCAAAAAAAGGCCGATTTGCAACACGTAGCATAAGGCAGAATTTATGAAGATGATACGAAAAAATACGAAAATATAAAAATATTAAGAGAACAAGATGCGAATATCGTACAAGAATAAGAGAATAAGAGAATAAAGGAATAAGGCGATACACCATTAAGTAACCAATGGAATCTCGTCTTGAAATGTTAACGTCGAGAGGTGTTTTAAACCTGGGTATAAATAATAGAACACTATAGAACGAAAAAAATGTTTTCAATGAAAGACCTTTTTGTATATTTTCTGAAGCTAAAGCATTAGGTTGTAATATAAAGGTCGATTTATAATATGTAGGAAGGAACAGAAACAGAAACTTTGACGTGGAACAGAATGAATTGCCAAAAATACAAAAATTGGAAAAATTGAAAGAAGATGAGGCGATTCACCAGTAAGTAACCACTTATTATCTCGTTTTGAATTTTCAACGAAAAGTGTTTAAAACAAGATAGGTTAATTATGTGAGGACTAGTTATGCCAAATGATGCAGGACTTTTTCTAGGAAATCACCCGAGTAAGGACGTACAGATTCTATACATTTCAGGAAAATTCAAAATTCAAAAAGTGTTCACGCTCAATTATTAAGACTCATAAGGTTAATTTTGGACTAACTAACAATAACCAACCTGTTTATATTTTCTAGCAGACTTGACATCAACATTTTTCGGTTAAACGTTGGCATTTAGGTTTAACTGAAAATTTCTAAATCAACAAATGAGAAAACGAGACGAATATTCAAATTGATGTATTTTTCACTATAAATAACAAAAATTAATAATTAAAAGTATTTCTTTTAAAACTTTGTGATTAATTTATAACATTTTTGCCCTCAGCAATAAACGAAAAAATATGCCCACTTTTCTTTCTTTCTTTGTAAAATCAGTTGCCGCGTAATAATCTTGTTATTGTCTAAGTTGATTGATTGATTAATGTATTTATGTTGTTGAGAATATTACGGGGAAATTGCGCTGTGGAAACCCCTGTGGCAAATACCAACCTGAGGCAGTAACAACCTGTTCGTACAGGTTAATCTGCCTGTAGGCAGTCAGGCAGTAACCATCTACACACACACTGTAGTGTACGCCGTAGCTCAGGGAGTGACGCATTTGGGCGATACATTCTTCAAAATTAATCTTGACGCAAAACTTAAAATAATTTTATTGTCTAAGAATACTGTTAAATTGTTTTCAAATTATTTTTATGCGTGACACATCTTTTGACAGATGTAATCATGTGAAGGAGTGGTCTGACGATATTATGAAGAATTCAGGCGTGGTAAATATTTTCAGAATTCTTGGACATATCAGCAGTGGTACAATATATATCTTATGTAGAATAAACCCTAATGAAACTCTGAATGAATCATTATTTATATTTGTTTGAAACACTTAGGCCACTATACAGTCTTGTTAATTATAAGAAATTACCATTGTAAAATATGTTTGATTTATTCCTAGAGAACGATTTTTGGACCCCCCCGTGCCACCNGGGGAGGGGGGGTGTCCAAAAATTGTTCTCCAGGAAATTTCCCGAGCGCTGCAGCTAGGAAAGGCTATGGGGCCTCGGCAAGTACAGGCTAGGGGGCCTGGCGCTGCGGCCACATGACCAATTATATCCACGTGCTTCATATGAGATCCATTATATCTACTGTTTCCTCCCTGTATAATCTCCTGTAAATTCTCCTGTTTTCTCCGTGTTGCCTCCCTGTATACCATCCTGTTTCTTCCTTTTATATGCTCCTGTTTCCTCCCTGTAAATTATCCTGTTTTCTTCCTGTATATTCTCCTGTTTTCTCCCTGTGTATTATCCTGTGTACATTTTTCTGTTTTTTCTCTGTTTATTCTCCTGTTTCCTTCCTGTACATTCTTCAGTTTTCTTCCATATACATTCCCTGGATATGCTCCAGTTTCCTCCCTGTATTTTTAACTTTAATAATTTATTTTAATTAAATTTTACATTATTTTTAAATTTTAATATGATATCAGATGTAAACATTTTGAGACTTCTATATTTCTTGTTTTTAATCCTTTCTTTTCCTACCTGTATAGTTCATGTTCCTCCATGTATATTCTACTGTTTTCTTCCTGTATATTTTCCTGTTTCCTTCGTGTATATTATCCTTTTTCCTCGTTGAATACTCTCCTGTTTCCTTCTTGTATATCTCCCTGTTTCCTAACTTTACTGTTTCCCCGTTGTATATTCTTCTGTTTCATCCTTGTACATTATTTTGTTTCCTCTGTATGTTATCCTGTTTCCTCCCCGTATACCATCCTGCTTCCTCCCCGTATACCATCCTGTTTTCTCCCTTTAAATTCTCCTGTTTCCTCTCTGTTTATTTTTCTGTTTCCCTCTTGTTTTTTCTCCTGTTTCCTCCTTATAAATTCTCTTGTTTCCTTCCTGTATATCATCCTGTTTCCTCTCTATATATCACATTCTCCTGTTTTTTCGCTGTTTCCTCCCTGTGTACAATCCTGTTTCCATCCTTTTTACCATCCTGTTTCCTCTCTGTAGACCATCCTGTTTCCATCCTGTTTACCATCCTGTTCATTCCTGTATATCATCCTTTTTCCTCATTATATATTCTCCTGTTTCTTCCCTGTATATCATCCTGTTTCCTTCCTAAATATTATCCTGTTCCCTTCCTGTATGTTTTCTTTTTTCCTTCATGTAAATTCTCCTGTTTCCTCCCTAAGTATTCTCCTGTGTCCTCCCTGTATATTCTCCTGATTCCTCCCTGTATATTCTTTTGTTTGTTCTCTGTGTATTCTCCTGTTTCCTCCCTGTATACCATCTTGTTTCCTACCTGTTTATTATCCTGTTTTCACCCTGTGTATTCTCCTGTTTCCTCTCTGTTTATTCTTCTATTTCCTTCCTGTATATTCTCCTGTTTCCTCATTAAATATTCTCCTGTGCCCTCCCTGTATATTTTCCTGTTTCCTCTCTTATATTTTCCTGTGTCCTCCCTGTATATTTTCCTGTTTCCTTCCTGTATATTACCCTGTCTTCTCCCTGCATATTTTCTCCTGTTTCCTTTCTGTATATTACCCTGTCTTCTCCCTGCATATTTTCTCCTGTTTCCTCTTTGTATATTTTCCTGTTTGTTCTGCGTATTTGTAAATCTGCTTTTTTCAAGAGGAATTTGATGAAATTGTTTAATTGTACATTCTAAGACCTTGCATGAACCACCGAACCATGCAATTCTCTTTTTAAATCAAATTTCCTTAAATTTTACAAAAGGAAATGAAATATTTTATTTCCTTTATTTAACTTTATATTTCCGTTATTTAACTTTATATTTCCGTTATTTAACTTCTTATTTCCGTTATTTAACTTTCTATTTCTACTAACCGTCCTAACATTTCCTATTAAGTAAAGTTGTATAACTAATGTGCTGCACAATGTCTGGATCCAATGTTGTGAATATTTGGGTCTTTTTTAGCATGTTGACTAAATTCATAATTAATACTGAGATTTCTATAAAATTATTGATAGTGCGTGCAGGTGGTATATATAGCGGAAATGTCAATTTCATATTTTGTAATTTTTAAAGAAAGAGAGTTGAGGATTTCTGATTTCTGAAGTACAAATATATAAATGCATATTTCTATATTTTTAAATAATATGTATATATATATATATGTATACTTCAGAAATCAATTAATTGTAATAACTTGCTGAACTCTTTCTACTACCCACCTATCTATCTATCTATCTATCATATTCTTCTGCTTTTTCTCCCAATATATTCTCCTGTTTCCGTCCTGTATATTCTTCTGCTTTTTCTCCCAATATATTCTCCTGTTTCCTTCCAGAACAAGCTTTGAATTTCAACAATTTTCAACAAAATTAGTAAATTTCAGGGTTCACTAGCCGCAGCGCTCGGCCCAGAAAGTGTCTTAACCTAACCTAACCCTAAATAATAATAAATAAATGGATATTATTGACCATGTGGCCATAGCGCTCGGCTCCTAGCCTGTCCTAGTCGCAGCGCTCGGCCCAGAAAGTGTCTTAACCTAACCTTACCCTAAATGATAATAAATAAATGGATATAATTGACCATGTGGCCATAGCGCTCGGCCCCCTAGCCTGTCCTAGCCGCTGCGCTCGGGCCAGAAAGTGTCTTAACTAACCTAACCCGTGGCCGCAGCGCTCGGCTCCCCAGCCTGTTCTAGGCGCAGCGCTCGGCCCAGAATGTACCTAACCTAACCTTAAATAATAATAAAAAATACTAACCGTCAAAATCAAAAAAAAATTTGCCCTTTTTTCGCATTTTTTGACTCTTAGTCATTTGACCCTTTGTCGCGTTTTTGACCCCTTGTCGTTTGACCCTGTGTCGTTTGACCCTGTGTCGTTTGACCCTGTGTCGTTTGACCCTGGGTCGTTTGACCCTTTGTCGGTGAATCGCCATTGGTGATAGTTCTGGTCACATGATTTAAGTTTAAGATTTTCTAAATTTTACATATATGAACTTTCGTATAATTTTAACACAGTTTTATATCAATTTCTTGAGACAGGAACATCAGATAAAACTTTCATGGGTCGCGATCAAGAGCTAAAGTGATTAGCTTTCAGCCTATACCCCCTTTCATTTTTCCTTTTCAGACCCTTTAATGAATAAAATGGTAAGCTTAGAATGATGAAAAAAAGTTAATTGGAAAGGAGGAAAGGCGGATATTATGAACGAGGGTACAAGGAGAGAGAAAAAAGAATAACGTTCTGCAAAAATTATTAATAAAAAAAAAATATATATTTTCAATTCACAGGAAGAGCAGATCTAAACCTGAATGTTATCAACACTTATTTACATAAAAGATAGTTTGATTTGAAATAAGAAAATTCTTTATATTTTTCTTAAAAACGTCTTCAGTTTATCTTTAAGTATATTAAGAGATTGGTGTAAATGTTCACTTTGTTCCATTGTGTAAAAAAAATACTGTACTTTTTTGGATCATTCAGGAATTACATTTTTTCTTTTTGTGTCCATCTTAAAGGGACAGACCGGCTATGTAAGGTAGTTAAACTGAGTATGCAGTGTTGTGGACAAGTTCTTTAGGATTTATTTGAGACATATAAAACTTCTCCGCGATGTATAATTACTGAGTTTGAGCCCAAAGTCGACGTTCGAATTCATGAATTTGGGTGGGTAAGTTTTCAGAATCTTTTTTTCAATTATTAAATAACTACGACGAAAAATATAGTAAAAATTCTATAGTAAACTATGTTGTATTTCGGATTGTTCTTCAGATGAGTGAACAGTCCCTTGAATCCAACAGAATGCCAGAGAGATCAGTACATCCCGGACCGCTGCAGAGTAGACACAAGTCTCCCTGCACATAGCCGTCCTGGGACCCGTGCTATATACAGCGCACAGAAAGCTTACAGAGAGTATCCTTGTGGACGAGATCTACATTGAAGAAGATGGACCAGGTTCCCGCCATCATACAGAACCCTGCCTATGTGGAACCCGATGAAAGAGAAGTTGATCCTGTTGACGTCACTCCTCTTGTTAGTGGAAACGACCCTATTGTCACTGTCCCCGCATCAGAGGATGATGATGATGATGAACCTGATGAGGACATGATTGCAGAAGGACAGGATGAGACGATGAGAGATATGTACAGATATGTACAGCTTCCTTGGTGGAATATCTGAACAGATCCACACATTCAACAACACCATGCAGAGTAGTGCAAGCTCGAGTCAACCACCAGCGGTCCCCGACGATAAACTGTGGGACACGGGGTTGGCCTGGGAAAGAGAGTTAAATCTCTATCCCGATATAAGCAGAAGTGTTGTCATTTCTGGCTTGTACAACCAGGTGTGGAACTTGCTCCATAAGATGAAGGAGCGGGTAACCCGGCAAACCTGGAAAATAGAAGATCAGGAGATTGTGGAAGGTTTGATCGATATAATGATCTTATCTGCACGCAATAATATCTTAACTGATCAGATCATTGAAGACCATGCTGAGAAACCCTAAGTATATAAAGGGACTGACAGCTAGTATTATAATATGATCTTATGTGATTATGTATGCATTTATCAATATACTATTAGATGTATTAATAAACGTAATTACATGTAAACAAAGCTTTATTTATTAATTGGGTGTTTGGATTTGTAAGAGCATACAAGTATATAAGGCAGACTTAGTATATGTAGTTTGCTGAAGTATAGTAATGCCAGATTGCAAAGATATAGACGGCGCATGAGGTGTTAGGCCCAGGTGATAGGACTAACCCGATCTGCAATGTCATCAGGTTACATAGATGATAGATAATACAAGTCTAAGTACTTGAAGTGAAATCTCATCTATTTGTTGATTTAAGTATACACGTTTTTGATGTTCTAATATGTGGTCCCAGAATACCACAACTAATTAGATGTTTAGGAACATATTTCTCATAAGAAATTTGTCAATAAATCGAAGTTCGAGTTAATTATTTCCTTTTTCATCATTATATTGAATTTCTTATTTTCTATGAATTTGTTCGCAGATTTCTTCAAATTCTCCAAATGTCGTCTTTTTAATAAAAATTCCAGAAAACCGGCAAAAACTCTTTGTGATTAAAGAGATAATATAGAAACTAATAATTGAATAAGATTACTTATTTTCGATGATAAGAGTTAATTTTTATTTTCTCAACCTGTTCCTAAACAACTGATTAGTTTACTGTAGGATTTTGTTTACTTTTTTGTCGTCGTTATTTTATAATTAAATAAAACAAATATGAAAACGTATCCACCCAAAAGTACGATTTTGAACGTCGACTTTGCACTCAAACTCAGGATTTACAAATCTTTAAAAAGTGTTATGTCTCAAATGAATTCTAAACAATTTGTCCACAACACTGCATACTCAGTTTAACTACCTTACATAGCCGGTCTGTCACTTTAAAGTTATTTTGATATCTACTTGTAAGATTGAAATCTAGAAAGAAAAAATCATATTTACCGTTGAAACTATAATCGTGATTATAATTTTGTAGAACTTGTTGGCGTTAATGTCACCTACTATCTACATCCCTGTTAATCTTTCCCTTGCAAGCGTAAACGTAAATAATTCAAAATTTTATCTTAGTTATTGCTTGGAGTTCGTATGTATTGGGGTAAAGCAGATATTTAAAAAAACTAATTTGTATAAATGTCCTCTTGCTTTAATAAAAACATTACATTATGAATTTACTGCGTTTTATTTCCGGCTGAAGAAACAAATTTATAACTGATCTTTATGTTAATTTGCTGCTTTGTTTAAAGGACCTTAAACGTATTTTCTAAGTACCCTTTAAACTTCGCTTTTACAGGATGAATATGGTTACCATGAAATCTAGCCTAAGGTTACAGAGTGAATGGTCAATTTTCACGTCATTCATTCCTTTTTAGCATCAAATTATTTATTATTTTTGATATATTCATTATTTCAGATGTGTGAATAGACTAGATTGGTAAAATGGGGGATGAATTCTACCAAAGGCAACCTCTACTGTCAGAGGGAGGAGATGAACTCCATTCTTTAGATGAGTTTAGCCCTAGGACCAGGTAGAAGATCATCTTGATCCTGATCCTGATCCTGATCCTGATCCTGATCCTGATCCTGATCCTGATCCTGATCCTGATCCTGATCCTGATCACTGATCCCTGATCACTGAAATGTGAAGATGGGATTTTAAATAAATATTTTCTCTATATGCTTAATTTACTTTCTTAGCTCCAAGCAAAATATACTTTCTTCTTAAATGCCCCCCCCCCCCCCATAACTTTACAAATTCGGCCCGTGACTTGGAGAGGTGATTTTGAACGATTGAAAACGAAGTCAAAATATAAATTATTGAAATGCTTTTGACATTAACGATCAAAATTATATTAGAGAACATGTTCTAAGCGGTTTTTCAAATCCCAGGCGTGATTGTACACGTATCGTGAGGGGAAGTACTGATGGGTGTGACTTCCTAGGGGACCAAAATACCCCCAGAATTTTTGTTTAATAATAATAATAATTATATTAGACTTATTGAGCAATTATATTAATTTTACTTGTATTTTATTCCTTTTTACTAAGCTTTTAAGAGTATTTTGTTGCTTAATATTATTCTTCTTTCTATTGTAAACACCTGATTTTATTTTAAGTGCTGAAGATGTTATCCAGATGGTCACTTTGTGAGTCATAGTAATTTTATTATTTATGGCGAGCTGAAAACTTTAGAATGCGATTTCTTTAATCCCAATCTATTAATTAATCTGGAGATTAATAACAAGAGGAGAACAAGCATTATTTAATCTTGATATTAAGAAAAAAAGGAGATCAAACATTGATCTCGATATCCACTATTCTAAAGTTTTAAGCTCTGGGAACTCTGGTGGCGGACTTTTTAGCTTTTTTTTTAGTTGAATATAATTTTAATTGACCCTTCAAGCAGGGGTATATATATTTTCAAGAATTCATGATTGTTGATGCGCTGGGGGAAAATTAATGTTAGGCTAGTTTTTTTTTTTACTCTGTTTGATACTTCTTGTTGATACTTCGTACCTGAAAATTCAATTGTTTTCCCTGAAAGTTTTTCACCAAATTCAGTGAATAACAATAAAAAAATATTTGCAACGCTTTTTTAAATGCTTTTTTAAGAAAATATACATCCCTGAAGTACAAAATGGTAAATTGTAAACGAAATTTTTTTTTTCTCTGCCGTAGAAATCCACGACTTCGGACTGGATCAATGAACGGGTATTTTAGTAAACTAAACATGAAGGGTCACTTTTAATTAAGTTAGCAGCCCCTTGTACGTAGGGTTGTTAATCGTTTTTGTAAACGATCGTTAAACGATCGTTTTTTGTTTCGTTTTCAAAAACGATCGTTTCGTTTTCGGAAAAAACGATCGTTTTTAAAAACGACCCACTCGTTTTGAACTTTTAGAAAACGAATAGCGATCGTTTTTGAAAACGATCGTTTTTATTAAAACGATGTGCGACCGTTTTTTTACGATTTTTTTTCAAAAAACGATCGTTAACGATCGTTAACGAAGGGTTGTCGTTCACGATCGTTAACGAAACGACGAACTTTATCAAAACGGTCGTCTTTGGAAAAAATTACATGCAAATTTATTGAATGTCGTCTTACATGAAGTTTAACAGTTGTGGGGGAGTTAAAACTCCTTGATATTTTCTTAAAAACTACTCAATGATAAGTACAGATGCCCTTCAGGTCGGTTTCCTCTCTTTGTTAACGATCGTTAACTAAGGGGTCGTCGTTAACGATCGTTAACGAAGGTTCGTCGTTAACGATCGTTAACGAAGGGTCATTGTTAACGATTGTTAACGAAACGACGAATTTTATAAAAACGATCGTTTTCAAAAACGAGCGTTTTGAAAAACGATCGTTTTAAAAACGACCATTTTTAAGAAACGAACTTTTTAAAAAACGATCGTTTTTAAAAACGATCGTTTTGTTTTTGATTTTTCGTCGTCGTTTTCATAACGAAACGATCGTTTTTCTGAAAAAATGAAAACGTTAACATCCCTACTTGTACGTAGTAATACAATAATTTTTTTGGATTTCATTATTTTGGATCAGGATTTTTTAGAACTTTTCTTGCTTCGGGATGTTTAAAAAGAACTTTGTGTGTTCCTGAAAATATTTGTTATTATTTGGTTTGGGTTTTAATAATTTATAGTCCAATTTTGCCTTCAAATTTACTTGTTCTTGAATAATAATATTAGTACTTATACTAATCTTATCTTTATTTTTCAGATCAAATGTTTTCAATGCTGTCAATATCATTAAAATTCTTCAACTTTTTTATCTATACTTGAACAATATTAAATCTAACAGATTCTGGAAACTGAAAATTCAACGTCTGATTGAATATCTGTTTGATTGAGTATTTAATTGGTTGGTTGATTGATTGATTGGTTGATTGATTAGGAATGGATCAGCTGTGAAAATAGATATTCCCGAGGGTGATAAAGAAGGAAATTTCCCCAAGGTAATGTAGCGCCAAAATTTTTTAAAATTTAAATTGAGTAATTGTTTATTTAAATGGATGAAATTGCAGATCAGATCACGTGGAAAACAATTGTTAAATACATGAAAGATTTAAATGGTTAAGTTAATTTCGGTGAAACAGTGGGGATCCTGATCCTTTAGATCCTCAACACTATAGCTCCCTGGATCCGGATCCATTGGATCCGCATTATTATAGCTTCTCGGATCCGTTGGATCCGCAACACTATAGCTCCCTGGATCCGGATCCATTGGATCCGCATTATTATAGCTTCTCGGATCCGTTGGATCCGCAACACTATAGTTCCCTGGATCCGGATCTATTAGATCCGCATTATTATAGCTTCTCGGATCCGTTGGATCCGCAACATTATAGCTCCCTGGATCCGGATCCATTGGATCGGCATTATTATAGCTTCTCGGATCCGCAACACTATAGCTCCCTGGATCTGGATCCATTGGATCCGCATTATTATAGCTTCTCGGATCCGTTGGATCCGCAACAATATAGCTCCCTGGATCTGGATCCGCAAAAATATTTAGTGTCCGTATCACCATATCATCAATCATCATACAACGTAACCTGTCTGTACTCTCAAAACATTTACTAAAGTAGTATCATTCTTACAATTATTGAATGGTGAATTAAACTTCTAAAAAGCGAAATAGAAGAATAATATTTCTAAAAATATTAAATCCCAAGCTTCAGATAAACCAGATATTATAAGCTGAGTATTTTACCTACTGCCCCCCCCCCCCCCCCCCCACCTAAACGTTTGCGTTTTACAAATGATAATTACTTTTGTTGAAAACAATGGATTTTAGTTAGGAGTCAAATTTCCCCTTTGTTCAAGGACCAGCTATTCTTGCAAAATGTCGAAAAGAATTGTATGTATTCGAGAAAATATCTTTTTTATTATTAGTTTGTACTTTCAGTCCTTGTGTTTATTTAGGAAATTTTAGAATATTATCAATTCTTCTTAATACTTATTGTTTACTTTTAGGAAAGATGGAAAACTGTTCTTTCAATTATATTCGTAATTCTTGCCTTCCTAGCTACAACAACAAGGTAAGTCATTGCAAAAGGGTATAATTTTTATTGAGAAATGATTTTGTAAGCTGACATTGATTCTTGTATCTCACCTGCCGCCCCCCTTCCCCCCATCAAAAAAAAGCAAACCTTAAAAGGTTAAATTTGAATAAAGGGGTTTTTTAAATAAATGTTTCTATATAATTTAGATTTAGATTTAAGAAAATATTATTTAAAAATAACTAAGAGATGAACTTTTCTATGGGACATAGACACAACTTTTTTCGACCCCAATTTCATAAAATGACGGGTTGTCTTTTAATAACAATAATAATTATAATATTAATAATAATATAATTTTCCTTTTATTTTGAACATCTCAGCATACTAGTGGTTTCATCAGGTCGCATGTTGATGTTATTATTATTATTATAAATAAAATAAAATTTGCTTTATTATTAATAAAATATTTTTTTCTTTTTAGTCTTTCCATAACACACGAGCTACGGCCGGCCCACTCTAATCCTCTTCCAGATTTAATATTAGGTGATAATTATAATTATAAAATATACCATATTACTACTGGGCCCTGGATTTCTTTAACTCTATATTTCTTATATTAGATAATATTTCCTTATTCTCTTGGGCCCTGGACGTCCAAAACTCCATATTTCTTATGTTAAAGAAAAAAAGCATTTCTCCCGGGCCCTAGATTTCCTAAGTTCCATATTTCTTGTTGTTAGATAATATACCGTATTACTTCTGGGCCCTATATTACCTAAACTGTATATTTCTGATGTTAGATAATATACCATTTTACATCTGGGCCCTGGACGTCCTAAACTCCATATTTCTTGTGTTAGATAATATACTGTTTTACTCTTGGGTCCTGGATTTCCTTAACTATATTTTTTTGTGTTAGATAATATACCGTATTACTCGTGGGCCCTGGATGTGTCTGAGATCCTAATCATGGTAATCACTACCATCTGTGCTGTGGTCGTTATCTGTCACAAGCACAGGTAAAATAACAGACAGATTTGTCAGTCAAGTTTATTAATCAATAAAGAAATGGAGTCCGTGCCACAAACTCAAATTTTCTAATCCCTGTAGCTTTGCACCGTGATCATGTAAACCTTTATATTTTAGACTATTTCATATAACAAAATATTCCAATTTGAAATATAAAATGTCTACACCAAAATTGATTTGCAAGAATGTAGAGTTTGTGGCAAAGACTAATGTCCGGTCTTGCTCCTACCTTGATTTTCGCAAATCGTGAATTAATTTTATATAAAGATAAGATATGATTTGTTTGCAAATTATTACTGTGACCTTGACTGCCATGCATTATTTTCATTAAAACAAAGATCGGAGGGCAGGGTATTTGTAATCAGTGTTAACTACAAGGATAACCAGAAAACTCTGGAATAGAACGTCGACTTTTAATTTAAGTTACGACTCTAAATAGGGCAATGAACATGCGGCACAGAAATTGCGCAGTGTAAACAGACCCATTTAACTTTAAAAAAGTGATTTTATAATTTTCTAGGACAGCTATTTGCTTTATAACAACATTAAATGCACTTCAATATTGTTTTAGCGTCTCTCCCTATTCTACAGATTTCTGGCTTTCACTCTAACTGTTTTATTTTGTAACTGTTTTATAAAAGCTGTTTTTGAGTAGACTTAATGTTATTTTATTTTAAAATGAGATTAACTAAACAAATAAATAAAAATGTTATTTTAGGTGGATTCTAGCACGTCGTGTCTGCTTGATAATTGGCCTTCTATACTTTTACAGGAATAATAGAAACAGTTTTAAGAACAAAATAAACTTTTTTATTTAAATATTAGCTCAAGTGCCCGGCGTTGCCCGTTGAATTTTGAAAACACTTTGAAAAGATAGAATTAAAATTTTTAAGAGAAAAATCTATTTAAAAAAATCCAATTTTTTTACTTTTTGTTACCCGCAAGGGATTTCTTTAATTAGGGATGAATTAAATTTTAGCAATTAAAATCAAGAATTTATAGACTTCAAATTTAAGCCAGATGTATCAAGGGTTTCCAACGCTAGTGGATTTTACGTGCGCGCAATTGCGAGCCCTGAAAAATCTGCGCTATTTCGGGCAATCCCACACAATTTTGCGCAATTTGATAACAGTTGCGCGCAATTCCGCTCACTTCTGATTGGAAACCCTAGATTTAACTTTAGAATATGTATGGTAACGGAATATGCAAATGGATATCATGGAAGAAAAATTCATCAAGAAATATTTATTTTCACCTAAAAATCTTACTTCCATTCAGCGAAAAAAAACCTTTAAAAATCTTTAACATCAACCACTGACAAAAATGGTAATTTATGTTATAACTGTTATTATTAATTTGTTACCCAGAGCAATAACAATGATTATCACCGCTCTTCCCTCAGCTAACCGTCAGTATAAATGTGATCCTCAGCTTAACCATACTATCACAGCCACTGAGGTAATAAACCAGAAATTAACATTTCCGGAAAAGTTAATTTCGGAAAGATGGCTGATCGAATATTATCTGATTGATAAAGCGATTGTTCTTTAAATGGATCATTATTTCAAGTGATCCTTCATGCAAATATACCTATGCTCGATTCACAACGGTACTCATAAAAACGTTATCTGATCAAGTTTGAATTAGATGTATTTATAATTTTAAATTATTTTTAATTGTTGTTTCTCTCGTAAAACGACGTTATCTTCCACATTATTGATCAGATAAATTTGTCAAGGGTACTGTTGGTAATCAGGCATTGCCAATTTTGAATGAACTTGAAATAATGCTCACAGTCCCTTTAATTGATTTATTTCTATATTACTTGATTGATTGATTTGTATATTACTTGATTGATTTTTTGTATATTACTTGATTAATTTATTTGTATAATACTTGATCGTTTGATTTATTTGTATATTACTTGATTGATTTATTTGTATATTACTTGATTGAATTATTTGTATATTTCTTGATTAATTGATTTGTATATTACTTGATTGATTTATTTGTATATTACTTGATTGATTGATTTTCATATTACTTGATTGATTGATTTGTATATTACTTGTTTGATTTATTTGTATATTACTTGATTGATTTATTTGTATATTACTTGATTGATTGATTTGTATATTACTTGATTGATTTATTTGTATATTACTTGATTGATTTATTTGTATATTACTTGATTGATTGATTTGTGTATTACTTGATTGTTTTATTTGTAAATTTCTTGATTGATTGATTAAGTTTCTACTTGTAGGTGCTCCGACGTGTTGTGAAGATAATGTCCGGGTTTGGTTTATCTATTAACGGACAGCACGTGTACTGTGGGGACTTTATATTCTCCGGGCACACCATGATCCTTATCCTCTCCTACCTCATCATTAGTGAATGTAAGCCCACTTCAAAACTTTTAAAGGAACTGTTTGTGTATCTAAAAAACGGACAAAAAAAATGTGAAAAACAAAAGAAAAATCTGTTTGAAAAAAATCTAAGTAAGGAAAAGATTCACTGATAAAAAAGTCTTAAAAATCATTACCAAATAAAGTTTGATTGTCATAATAAAAATAATCTGTATTCTCCTACAATACCCTAGGATAGGGTCCTTGGAGACATCACAACATAACCATTCAGACTGTAAGCGTAATTTCAAGTGCAAAGATGGCAATCCCAGTTTTACAACGGTACCCTTGGAAGCTTTGTCTGATCAAGGTTTCAGTTTTCAAAATGATAAACATTGATATCTTTTTTAGACTTGATTAGACAAAGGTTGTAAGGGTAATGTTGTAAATCGGGCAAGACCATCTTTGTCCATGTTAAGTCACAAGATACCGTTGTGTATCATTGATGGCGTTGACTTCTTGTTTGTTTGGTTTTTTTGTACATTTGTTTTTCTTTAAAAAAGTACAGTTAATAATAATATCATTAACTCTATGTGTTTAGATACTCCCAAGAAACTGTGGTTGATACATTGGTCTTCTTTTCTCATGGGAATAGGAGGAGTTATCAGTCTGATGTTAGCCAGAGGACATTACTCAGGTTAGTTTCACCCTGAACTAGCAACCTGATGTTAGCCAGAGGACTTTATTCATGAATTATTAACAAAAATGCCTTTGGTGGACCAACCCAAGGTCCTTTTGGAGTTGGTCCTAAAATAAATGATATATTTATTATTTAGTTGATGTTCTGTTGGCGTACTTTGTCACCACTCGTCTTTGGTTCATGATGCATTCTGTTATACTTAATCTTCAGCTTCAGCAACCACATTCTTCAAATCATCTTTCCAGGTTAGATTATTCATATTCTCAGGGTATTCTGTTATACTTAATCTTCAGCTTCAGCAACCACATTCTTCCAATCATCTTTCCAGGTTAGATTATTCATATTCTCAGGGTATTCTGTTATACTTAATCTTCAGCTTCAGCAACCACATTCTTCAAATCATCTTTCCAGGTTAGATTATTCATATGCCAAATAGTTATGATCCATTGCATTTTGAGATGAGTTGAAATTGTGTTGAAATGTTTAAAACCACAGACAAACCAGACTGAGCATTTGCTCTACCTGGATAGGCTGAACAGGTCTGATGTGTCCCGGCACGCCATGCTACAGTTAAATAAAAGGTTTTTTGACTGCCATCTTACGGCTACTTGTTGCATATAATACTAATTCAGGGGTTAGATTTTACATCGTTAAAAGAAATACTCCAATTTTTAACATGAAACATAAAATTTATGAATTTAGTCTATTTTTGAAGATTTTATATTTCGTATCCAAAGGATCCTTAAATAACTCTGAATACAGATGTCTCCTGATTGGTCGTGTACAGTTCTTGTACACAATAGAACCTGCTGTGGAAAATATCGTATATTCTAGGTTTCAATTGATCTCTGTTACTCTCTTATCTCTGGTTAAAACACATACGGGGTTTGGCTTTTCAATTAATCTCCATACACGACATTGGCTTGTCTCTCACCTCTGGATTCCCAATGTCGGCTCACAGCTGATCACTCCAGACTAAGTGTTGACAGCAATTATTATTATTACTATTACTATTATTATCATACCTTTAACGTTTAATATGTTTAGAGTATGGTGGTGGAGTATACTTGTGTTTTTCGAGAAAAATATCAAACACCCTTTGCCTAATGAATTCGAGATCCCCAGGTTAGCAGTTAGTTGAGTGAGCAGAAATACAGTGAAACCCTTAATAAAGAATACATCGAAAGAATTCATCAAATGTCGTATTCTTCACTTTCTGATAATAGAATGTTGCAGATATTTAGTTTTTTAATTAAATGATTATATGGAACTCTTTAAAACTGTTCCCGCATATTTATGGCCATTTATTTATTTCGCAAATACTGAAATTTACGTAATATAGTATAAAACTCATTGAAAAGTTGTCAAGACGACATTTGATAAATTCTTCCGAAGTATTTGTTATTAAGGGTTTCACTAGTAAAACATCTTTCAGATATTATAACCCCGGGCAAATCTACCTAATATCGGCTACCGTTAAAAATAGCTTAAATCGGTTTGTTTAGTAAGTTTTTGAAATTTTAAACAATCTTCTTCTTTTTCTTGTTATACTTTTAGCTTATAAATTTAACTTGGCCTGGATTCTGCAACTATTTTTTCCTTACATTAAAATTAATTTCTATTTGATGTTTCTTAGATTTTCCTATTCTAAATTTTTTTTCCTCTTCTGAATAATTCAACAGCCATCTTGACCGAACCCAATCAGATCGAAAAAATAACTTGAAAAATATTATTTTTAGACCTTGGCTCATGTGCTGGCAGCAGGTTACTGTAAAACATAGAATACGAGATCCAGCCAGGGATATCTAGGACATAGAGGATATAGATAATATCTAGGATATATCTAGGACATAAGAGGATATAGATAATATCTAGGATATATTAAGGATATAAAGGATATAGATGAGGTTACGAATATCTTGGATATAGAAAAGAGCAGTTATATATCATCGACTCAAAGGACGTCAAGTGAAACTGATAAATGTTTCTAAAATGTTGGATATCGACATGATTTAAGATTCTGATATTTACTGAGATAATAAGGATATACTTGTGGATATAAGATATCCCTGTGATAGTTGTGGAAACCACTAATCTTTCTGAATATTTAAGGAAATCTTCTCTCGGGTTTTATGCTATAAATAAAAAATTAATTTATCTACAAATTAAATTGAAGTATTAATTTCAAGCATTCTTCATTTAAAAGATTTTAGCAAAACTTCACAAAAAAATTCATATGTAAGATTAGGTTTTTTGGAGGATATAATCTGAATTGTAACTTACGTCAACTAGAATGTTCAATTAATTATTCATGTCGCGTACAGTATGTGATATGTACGTTTGTTATCACATTTATGTATTCCTAATTGTAACAACATACATCACATTTACGCATTCCTTAAATTAACAACTTACATCACAGCAAACAAATTATTCCGCCTTCCAATTGTTAACGCCGTAATTATTAATTTTGATGTTTATTTATTTTATCGTCGTTATTTAATCACATTTAAATCTAATTCAACGCCAATAGTCGTAAATAAAACCGCCACATGATAACCAGATGAAACAACTAAAATCAATTTTTTATTTAACTAATTTTTAATTTTATCCATGAAAATTCGGAATGAAAAAAAAAACAATTCTTTTGCCTACTTAGATCTGAGAACTTATTATTGCTCAATTTCCCCGTGAATTAATTTGAATCAAAATTTTGTTAAGTCTTGGAAATTCTAAATTTGTTTTATTATTATTATTTATTTTATTTAGTATCACCATACACCATTACTGTAAATGCAACATAAACAACTGTAAGCGTAATATTAAATAACCTCCATGCAATGATGTCAATGTTTAAAATTTCTTAATTCTGATAATTCCATTAATATGTTTTCCTGCAGAAGAAAGTCACTTTTGTAGAGAAACTACAATTATATAATATAACATTGATATCTAATTACTACTTGATCAGACAAAGCCTGTAAGGGTACCGTTGTAAATCAGACATTGCCATCTTTGCATAGAGGGTCACATGAAATTACGCTTACAGTCCCTTTAACCCTGTTTCAATGTACTTTCTTAAGCCTCCAATACCATCCGTCCGTTTCCTTCTGCTAATTCTACTGTTAGATGAAAGTATTTAAACAGATTTTAAAATTGAATTGTATTACTATATTTAAGCCGGTCCATGGAGGAAAAAAATCACTCATATTATGATATTTAAAAGTCTGAATTGAATGTTTATTTTATTATTTAACATATTTTTCCTAACAAGTTGTATGGGACTGCTCCTGTAGTGTATTTTGTCTTACTGTTTAAAGAGTGTCGAAAATGATCCATAAAGATTTTCTTTAACAGAAAAAAGATCTAAAAATTTTAAAATCACAATTTGCTCTTGAATTCCTACAAAAGAACTTTCAAGAAAAAATTATACAAATCTGCCGAATCGTATACGGTACGATCTTTTAGCATAACAAACTTTATTACCCTGGTGGGAATCATTTCCTGCACACTTAAATTCGTAGTTACCTTAATTCTGAGCTAATTAAATGAAACCATTTGATGCAAATTTTAAATATCTAATTTTTCGAAACTAGGTCCAATTTTGCTAAATTATTTAAATGTAAAAAAAATTCAGATCCCAAGCGGAAAGTTCTCAAAATATTTAATAAGTTACACTTATTCTGTGCAGTATATACTATGGTTATGTAATTCTTTATATTCGATGAACACATTCACTGTGATTATTACTTTGAACTAAATTGTCTTTGATATGTATGTTCACTGCACGCTGCGAACTGTACACTGTAAACTGTACATTGTACACTTTTAACTGTACTCTGTGATTATAACTTTTTTATCACCAGGCTTTCTATACAGGGTAGTTAAAATACATAGTTACCATTATCACAAGTATAATACAGGGTGTCCCAGAATTCACTAAACAGACAACTAATCTTGTCAAATCCATTCTTGTAAAATGGAGAGACATTGAGATTTTAATTTATCTAATGAGTCTAGGGTCTCCAGTCGAAATTTTTTGCACGAAAATCGTGCAAAGATTTTTTTACGCTTCGAGTAAAAATTGTACGAAATTTCGATGTTTTTTCGCATTGATGCGCAAAAATTTATTTCGCGCAAATTCTGAAGAATATCTTTGTATTTGTGTATTTCTTTATTTCCTGCTTTTTCGTAATTTCGAGCTATTTCGTTATTTCGTAAAATTTCGAGAAACAATTTCATGAAATGATGAATAAATTCAAAATTAAACAAATCAGAGTTACAGGCCGGGCCCGCCAACTATACTCCAGCCCATACGGCCCGCCAACTATTCACCTGCAGGCCTAATGAGCCCCTATTCTGAGGTTGTAGGTCACCGGACCGTACCGACTATTATACGGTTTAACGACAGTCAATCTCAAGTAGTAACTGAGTTACTCACGAATTAATTAATCATAATCACATTCACTAATAATCAGTCCGGTCTAAACTTGGAGACGAGTAGGGTTAGATGGAAATTGTTTTTTTTACTGAAACTTATTCACACCATACTGTCCAAATATTAAAATCTTTCATATTTATGCACTTTATGGCATGCAACAAATATCACTTAATTTCGTTTTCATGCACAGTACTGCACTAAAAAATTTCAATTTTTCGAATTCATGGGCATTGCAAAATTAAATGCAAAAATGACCTGTATTCATGCGCAATATCATGAAAACATTCTGACTTAAATCTTGTTTTCCTGCACAATTTCGTGCAAAAAAATATTCATTTCGAATGAATGGGCAATTTTGTGAATAACTGGTCTCATATTGATACAAAAATGATGCGGAATTGCGCAAGAGAAATTACTGTTTCGTGGAAACCCTTCTGATAACCAAGGATGTTTCATTAAAAAAAATTCATAGTTCAGTCTTTCTCATTTTTCATCCTAAATTGAATTGCTAGATACAAGTTTTACTCACAGTGGTCGGCATTTTTTACAATAGAATGAAGACGACTTTTTATTTTAAGTTTTGATTATTAACAACCTTTTTTATAAATTACAACTTTATATAAGTAAGTATACAAAAAGAATCAGTAAATTGACAGTTTTTCTTTGTTTCCATGTTTATTTGTATTTTGTATCCATTTAAAATCAAAATTAACAACGAAAGCCGTCTTATCATTGATATATACGACGACGACTATTCTAAAAATCACTGAATTTCTATGCTCCAATAATTTTGTCATCACTCCAGTTTTATTATAGTTTTACAGAATACGTTTCAAAAATAGATATCAAAGAAATAATTAGGTTTTGTTTGTGTTTTTTTTGTAATGGGCCACCCTGCCATCTTCAATGATACTTAAAATGATGTTGCATTTATTGGTAAATTACCCACCATCCCTATGATTCACATCTTACATCGTGTTTTTATTTTCAAGTATTTCTCATACCCTGTATTTTTAGTCCTTTGTCGTAATTATGCAATAAAAGATTTTATCTAAAATCATATTTTATAGTCCTTGGTCTCCCCGGGTTTAGTATTTGTATGTTCCTATGATCAGATTATTCAGATAGGTTATAAATTATTTTTGTGTTTCATTATCAATAATCTGTTTCACATTAAATGAATTTATAACTTGGCACTAATACTGAACAACTAAAATTAGTATTAAATTGAAAAGTTCCCTATTTAATGCCAAACCCCATTCTACTCTTGTCCTATCTGTATAATTTGTACTAAATACTTTCCATAGTAACCAGCCAATCTTATTTTTACTTTTGCTGTGAAATATGGAAGTGTTGACGAGCGAACTTAAGCTTACACAATTTTACAAAAGTTAGCATAATTTTACGCAAGTTTGCAAAATTTACGGAAATTAGCATAGTTTACGGAAGTTTGCATAATTTAATGCAAGTTTGCATAATTTTACGAAGGTTTGCATAATTTTATTAAAGTTTGTCTAATTTTACGTAGACTTGCATAATTTTACGTAAGTTTGCATAATATAATGTAAGTTTGCATAATCTTATGTAAGTTAAAATAATTTCATGAAAGTTTACATAATTTCATGAAAGTTTACATAATTTTATGAAAGTTTATATAATTTTATGTAAGTTTACATAGTTAACGCAATTTCACGTCAGTTTGCATAATTTTACATAACTATGTAAGTTTACTTAATTGATGCAACTTTCCGTAAGCTAAAAAGTTAGCCTCAAGTCAACCAAGGCCAATGTAAGCAAGTTGGCCGGCTGGTTACTGGTACAGTTCTATTAGATTACCCGGTTTTTTCTTTAAAATCTGCACATACACCTGTACTTGTGATAAATGATACTAAGTGACCCATTGTCGGTAATTTTTTTTATGTAAATGCTTCATCTCGATACAGTGATCGGCGCTTATACCAATACAATGAAGACGATTATTCATGCTGTTTAAAAGCTGGGTAGAAATCTAAAATTTGAATTAAAAGTAGTCTACATTGTATTGATATACGCGACGACGATAGTATAATCCCTAGTTCACATCACCAATCCAATAAACTACCTTCACTTAATCTTCTTTTTATATTTGGGATTTTTAAACTTAAAAACTAATAGAATATATAAATTGAAAAGACCTTGGCAAATATATAGGGTTGCCAACAAACGACAAGACTGTAAAAACAGCTCAAAGCTTAAAAATTTGACGATTTGAAACTTGAGTTTTGGTGTTCGCATTAAATTGAGTATTTTGTTGGTTTATTTTACAGAAATAAACCAGGTTTAGTTTCATCCTACAAGGAACCCTGAATGCAAAAAACGGACTAAACAAATTCCGTATAATCGTCTCTTGAAGTCTCATCCTTTGTGGGTAACCCTGTACAGGAAATTTTTATTTTGCATACAAAGCATGAGACAATACAATTACAATAAACTAAGTTAAATATGGTATGTACAGGGTGTCCCACAAAACATGACAATAGCAAGACGACTGAAAGTCGTCTTTGGTATTTGAATTTATTTGTGACATTTAGTCTTCTATCTACTTTAACGTGCATGATTCTTCAAACAATTATCACATAATTCTCCTAGCCCTGGCATTTCCAAAAAGTGGTCTGCGTTTTTTGTGCTTTCAATATTACCGGAGAAATAAAGAGTTTGGTTCAGATTTCAATTTTGTTAAATAAAAGCAAAATTGTCGAAATCTGAACGAAATTCTTCATATCTCGGGCAATATTGAAAGCACAAAAAAGGCAGACCACATTTTGGAAATGGCAGGACAAGGGAAATTTTGTGATTATTATCTCTAGAAATTTACTTCTAAAATTAGATTGACAAATAAACGCAGCAAATTATATGAAAAATCAAGACGACATTCAAGTCGTCCTGCATACTGTCATGTTTCGTGGGACACCATGTAGGTAAAAACAGTGTTGTATTAAAATTACTCTGCACTAATGAATAATTAAACTAATGTTCACTTGAAATAATCGTTATTTACACCAATGTTCAAGCAAACAGAAACTTATTGAACTAACATTCACACAGAATTTTTAGTTCTGTTTCGAATTCCCCATAACTTTTTTCAGTATTTTTAACAAATTAAAATGTTATAGGTTAATATTATTGAATGTTGAATTTTGTTCACTTGCGCGCATATGCTAACTTAAGCACAAAGCAAACGTTTGTTCCATTGGCCATATAGTTCTATCGACATAGCAGCGTAAATATAATACAGGATTACCTAAAAAGGATGAGATTTTAAAGACAATTTTGGTTAACCCTAGTATTTAGAAAATAAAAAAGGGGACGGATTTAGTAAACATTAGTGATATTTCTGCATGGGAGGGTGATGGCTACAGTAGAATGGAATAGAGGGTGTACAACAATGAGGTTATAGTATATAGAGTGAGGATGTACGCCAAGGTTTTAATGCAAGGAAAGTTAATTGCAGTTGCGTATATACTCTGCGTACATATTTAAACCAGATTTCTCTGGGCGGAATTTGTAAACAAGAATAGATGCATCAGTCTTCATTTAGTATCCGAGGAGGATAAAAACATTTAATTTTTAAAGTTTTGATAATTTACATAATAATTTTCTATGACCAGAATATTTCATAGATTTTTTATTTGAAAGATGGATCCCATCTCAGGCTGTGACATCCGTCTTGTATTTACATTACCGCCCAGAGACAGTGCACTGCAGTACAAAAGATGCGTACACCCCTGAAATAACTTTCCTTGCATCAGTGTTTAGGACGCTAAAACTCGAGATGTATGGACACTGTTCCGTGAGGACCAAGAGACCTACATTCTACAAGTAAACAAGAAAGTAAGTTTGCATTACAATATTTATGTACGCTAATCCTTTACTGATTGTACACTGTACAGGCCATGTACTCCACTTTCAAAGGTCTATCTGTATATAACAGTACTTGGGGGGTGATTTCTGAAAATATTTAAATGGAGAATTTATTTTCCATTTAACTATTAAAATCCACTTATACACCATTATTGTGTGCAGGGTTACATTTTTCACAGGAGTATGTACTGTTAGAGTCGTTTATAAAGCAATATTTCATAGTAAATAAACGGTTCAGAGAAAACTGAGTAAAATTTAAGATACAAAACCTCCCCATACACTTATACTCCAAGCGTACTGCATATTTGATGTTTGTACTGTATGATTAGGCCATAATCTCATTATATCCTTTTTCACTAAACTGTCTTAGGTGTTCACTCGGGCTAATATACACAGAGAGGTACAGGGTGTCCCACGAAACATGACAATAGGAAGACGACTTGAAAGTCGTCTTTGGTATTTGAATTTATTTGTGACATTTAGTCTTCTATCTACTTTAACATGTATGATTCTTGAAACAATTATCACATAATTCTCCTAGCCCTGGCATTTCCAAAAAGTGGTCTGCGTTTTTTGTGCTTTCAATATTACCGGAGATATAAAGAGTTTGGTTCAGATTTCAATTTTGTTAAATAAAAGCAAAATTGTCGAAATCTGAACGAAATTCTTCATATCTCGGGCAATATTGAAAGCACAAAAAAGGCAGACCACATTTTGGAAATTAGGTTGACAAAACACAGCAAATTATATCAAAAATCAAGACGACATTTAAGTCGTCCTGCATACTGTCATGTTTCGTGGGACACCCTGTAGCTATAGATCCAATCCAGCCCCCCCTGGTGTACAAATATAAGGGAGTGAGGAATAGAAGGGAGATATAACTGACTCGGTTCGCCCTACCATATGATTATACATGCTTTGAAGACGGGTACTCCATTTGTATATAAAATATTCAGAAAAGATTATTGTATACGCGGTAATTGTACATCAGACAAATATTTCTTATTCAAATGAAGTACCGTCTGCTAAGCATGTATAATCATATGGTAGGGCGAACCGAGTAAGTTATATCTCCCTTCTATTCCTTACTCCCTGAGTACAACATTTCTAGCACAGAATGCTAGGTTTCAGTAATATGCGATTCACGAAATGTAATGAACTATGAAAGTGACTTACCCACAAAGAAATAGACTTTATAGACGATTGAACGTAATTTATAAATGTCCTTATATTCAATATTCCCTGCAACTGTAAACTTGTTTCTCTCTTTGCTAAATCATTAAATACGCCATTTAAAGACTTTATTCATAGGCAGAAGACTTAAATTAATTTTGGGATCGTGATATTTTTTAGGGTTTCAGATCGTCTTTGCAGTCTCATCTTTGTGGGTAACCCTGTTGGTATATAAAAGGACTTATAAATATTATCATTGATATTATGGACAAGATAAAGATTGTTTCGGAACTACTAAAGCAGCATGATGATTCCTCCCCTCGACTGAAACAACGGTTTTCCACCTATATATGCATAACTATTTATAACACTCCAATCTCATGAGTTCATATTATTCAAGGTACTAATGCAAGGAAAGTTATTTCAGTGGTATACGCATTTTTTTGTACTGTCTTTGGCGGAAAAGTAAACACAAGACGGATGTTGAAGCCTGACATGGAATCCATTTTCACAAAAATAATTTATGAAATATTCTGGTCTTAGGAAACTATTATGTGAATTTTCAAAATTATCAAAATTAAATGTTTTTATCCTCCTCGGATACTATACGAACACTGAGGCATCTATTCTTGTTTACAAATTCCGCCTAGACTGAACTGGTTTCAATATGTACGCAGAGTATACACAACTAAAATTAACTTTCCTTGCATTATAACCTTGATATTATTTAGATTATATTATTCTGAAAAGACTTGAACCTTTTCAATAAAAAGACTGTTAATACTTGATTAAAATAAAATATAATTTTAATTTTAATTACATTTTAACTCTGTTTAATTAAAAAATATTCTAAGTTAGCTGTGATGGAGTTAAGTGATAAATTTGTGAAGATAAAAAGTTAGTTTTTCAAGCAAAGGAATAATTTTTAGACTCTATAAGGTTATTAACCACCCAAAAATGTAGTCTTTTTGGTGTATTTTTATGGTGAACAAAAAAAGTCCAGGTGGGAGGGGGGGCAAAAAAAATAAAAAAAGGTATCAATATTTTTTCAAAAAAAGGATTTTTAAGGGGAGGGCATACTGTTGCCAAGGGGGGGGACCCCAAAAAAATTTTTGCGCGCTTACGCATCCCCCCCACGCGCGCAAATTGTGCCCCCCCCCTTAAACAAAAGCCCTCGTACGCTCCTGCTCCCATCCTAGTAGATTAAAATCAATCAAACATGAAGACATTCTTAACAAGTTTTTAAGCGCCAAGCCGCGCCGACTTTTTAACGGAGGAAAGAGTTGTTACTTTGTTTTTGTTTTTAAAAAAAGGTTGATTTTAAAATTGATTATCTTTTAAATTTGCACGAAAACAATTAAAATGTGCACTGTGTAGATACGTCGGAATCAGATATTTCAAATTTTAAGTCAACAAATTCTAAATGATTCTAAATTCTAAAGTAATAGTCAATGTCATTAAAATTAGATGTTTTTTTAATAGAAAATAGAAAAATAGAAAAATAGAAATGGTATGGACAATAAAAAAAAAAACATTTTTACTTCTAAATAATGTCGTTTCTACATTAGATTTCGTTAGGATCTTAACATACTACATTGACGACAAGAAAATTTAACAATGAGTAATGACCATATTTTTTCAAAGTTTGGCAGAGTAGCTTTTCTAAAGATTTAAAAAGTAACATTTTTTTCCTCTTAGAGTAAGACTATTATTTTTAATATTACTGCCTTTTTTGTCAATAAATCCTTATATCCCCCCCTGCATGGCGGGGTATGATCATTGAACAAAATGATAAAAAAAAGTCTGACTGTTAGGGACGCCCTACGATTGCCCTATTGTAGACCATAAACCTTACAACCTTTCGCCGTAAAATGTCGTCTTAAACCAAATCATACCCTCGGAGCCAAACCCAACATTTCTCCGGCTTATAGACGCAACTCCACTCCAGTGAAACACGTTAAATATAAGTAAATGCTTAAATTCGTGATTATTGCTACAAACAACAAAATCTTTGTAACCAATAAATTAAAGAACCTTTTAAAAATCAAACATTGTTCACAGTTAAATATTTCAACGATATATTGTATTGTTAAAGTGTGCTTATTTTTAGATTAGAAATAAACTTCATTGTTAATTATTGAGTTATTTTATTTTATTAATTATTGAGTAATTATTAGTAGCGGAAAGTGGGGAACAAACCTGATAAATATAGACGCCCTAGGGACCATAACTTGAGAAAATTAATCTCCCTAGGGAAACCAACCTGATAAATATAGACGCCCTAGGGACCATAACTTGAGAAAATTAATCTCCCTAGGGAA